AAAAAAAAACAGCAAAGTAGTGAAGATAAGCAGATAATTATCTGCACGATATACAACCCGGCTTGACTCACAATGACGAACTCACGTCGTCAGACAGAATAAGTAGAGCGCGATTATCATTCACAAATAATAACGAATATACCAATCATCCGCTGCTTTGTGACAATTAATAGTTTTCTTAATTGATAGCAAAACAAAACCAAAAACAATATTTGGCCTGACGCTGACGCTTCACTAGGTTGTTGCTTAAATTTCACCTGATTTATGTTATTGTTAACGCACGGAGACTATCGAAAAGCTGAAATTATGAATTTGGGCTATTTGATTTTCACCGCGCGGTGTTTGTCGTGTGGGAGATCTAACGCGATGTCGAGTACCCCATTACCGATTTTTTTATAAAAAAAAAACATAATAATGAAGACAATTGTCAATGGAGAGGAGTAGAATCGAGAAATTTAAATGCACGTCGACGTTTAAACCGAGGGAACGAGCAGCTGAGGATTTATTCCTCGATCGATACGTCACTCAGGAGTGACATTGTAGAAAATATTGTTATTTCGATGATGAAGTGACGAAATTTGTACGGAAATCTAGGCGACGAAGCGCCCGTACCTGATGACGGCATCAAGCCGACATTCACCGAACGACCCGTCATTAGACAGTCCGATGATGGCAACACTATTACATTCGAGTGTCGATTAGTTGGAGATCCAAAACCTAGTGTTAAGTGGTAAGATTATACGAGGAGTGATTTTTTTATGGGCTTTTTTTTTTGGGACATCGTCAATAAATAATCAACAAATCAGGTATCACGGGAGCAACGAACTCAAGGAGAGTGGGAGATTCAAGATTTCTCTCGATGTTGACCAGAAACTTTACTATCTTGCTAGACTACAGATTAGCAATGTTGCTAAGGCCGATGGGGGTGAATACAAAGCAGTGGCTAAGAACAAAAATGGACAGGGGACTGCTACGATTAATCTCAACTTTGAGGGCGGAGATAAACCCAAGTATGATGATTCCATTTTTTGGCATTGCCCTGCAAATTTTCACCAGCTTGTCTAAAATCCATGAGATCCGTTAAAAACCAATTGGCTGAAAGAATTAAAGATTGAAATACTCTGATGATTTGAGAGCTGGTGGAAATTTATGGGACGCTCAAAAATGTGAAATAGAAAAATGCCAGGAGGTACGAAAATTCGTGAATTGACAGTGACTCAATTTGCGAATTTTCCCACCGAGAGAAAAAGAAAAAAAAGGCACAAAAAAATTCCCAGAATTCCCGACGGCAAGGCACCACGTTTTCCAAAAAAGCCGACGATTCGTCAAGAGGGCGATTTGCTAATAATGGAGTGCGTCCTCGAGGCCCATCCGGTCCCCGATATAACCTGGTACCAGGGAACAACGGCAATCAATGGTAGCTCGAGGATCAAGATGTCGAGGAAAGCAACTGGCAAGGACACTTATTTACTCACCCTCGAAATCACAAATCCCACAAAGGCAGACGGTGGAAACTACCGTTGCAATGCCTTTAACAATTACGGCGAGAGTAATGCAAACATCTCACTCAATTTCCAAGGCAAGTCGCAATATTTTTTTTTTTTCCATCGTGCACGGAACCGATATTTTGCGACCTTTATTCCACAACAATTACCTTTCACACGGGGTTGAGTGCACGAAATTAGGGGACGTATGAAAATGTAGAAACGAGGGATTTTTATTTTTCTTTTCACTGGGTAAGTGTGTTCGATCTAACAAATATGTCTCGTCTATTTCGCTTCGATAATTCCAGTAACTATCATCACAAAATGTCATTAAATCGTACTAATTGCCAGTATTTATTCCAACTTGATGATGGATTAATTGAAATTTATTTGCAAGATGCAGAAGACGCGGCTGGTTTCGCTCCTACATTCATCGAAAAACCGCGCATCATTCCGAACGAGAGTGGAACACTTATCACAATGAAGTGCAAGTGCAAAGCAAAACCAAAACCGGAAGTCACGTGGTTTCGGGGGACTAATGTCGTTAAGGAAACCGCTAAGATAACGATAAGCGAAAAGTCTGTTGAAGAGGATGTCTACGAATTGACTATGGAGATAAAAGTAATCCTCAATATTTATCGTTGTGAATGAAAATAATCATTGCCATTAAATTCCTCAAATTAATAATTAATAATTCCCCGAATGGTCAGGAACCCTCTGGTCCAGATGGTGGAACGTACAGATGTCACGTGGAGAACGAATTTGGTCAAAGCAATGCAAACCTGAACCTGAATATCGAGGCAGAACCTGAACAGGAAGGTGATGGTCCGACATTCGTGGAGAAGCCGAGGATCCAGTCGTCAGACGGTGGAAAAGTCGTAATCATGGACTGCAAAGTCAGCGCAAAACCAAAACCAAATATCGTCTGGACTCACGCTGGAAAAATAATCAAGGAATCCTCCAAAATTACGATGACTGTCGTCGAGGAAAAGGAGAGTATCTATTACATAAAACTGATACTCAATGATCCTGGGGCAGATGACTCTGGCCTCTACAAGTGCAATATTAAAAACAACTTGGGTGAACTCAATGCCAATCTCACTCTGAATGTTGAAAGTGAGTCCTTGTAACTATTTATTATTTATTTACTCCAGGTGAAAATTCTCAAGAAAAATTTATCAATCACGATTTGAAAATAAATACTCCTGTTTTTTTTTCCAGTTATCCCGGTGATCAAGGAGAAGCCCAAGGTCGTGAAAATTATCAAGAAGAAGACAGTGATAGTGGAGTGCACAGTTCTTTCTAAATTTGCCCCAGATTGCACTTGGTTCAAGGAAGCGAAGGCTGTCCAGGTCGATGACAGACACAAACTCCACGTGGAGAAAATAAAAGAGGGTGAATTCGCTGTTAAACTCGAGATCGAGCAGGTGTCCACTGCTGATAAGGGTAAATACAAGCTCGTGGCCAGGAATGAGAAGGGAGAGGCCACCTCTCAGGTTGTCGAAGTTGCTGAACTTCCTGAAGAGGTTGAAAAGCCCAAGATTGGCTCCGGATTGAGGAGCATCACTGTTGAGCATGGGGAAACTGTTGAGTTCAGTGCTTGTCTCACCAAGCAAGATAAAAAGAACAAGTGCACTGTCGAGTGGTACAGGTACGTCAATTATTTATGATTCTGCGTTTGAAATAATTAATTCATCATAAAAAATGTAAAAAAAAAACGAGTGAAAGATTTTTTTTAATGATTGAATTATTTCAGAGATTCGAAAATAATAACGACAACAAAGAATATCAGCATTTCATTCAATGGAATTGAAATGAAACTTGTTATAACTTCTTCAACTGAAGAATTCAGTGGAACCTACAAAGTTGTGGTGAGGAATGAAGCAGGACAGGATGAATCCAGTGCTAGCCTCACTGTCAAGGTAAAATTATTAATAGGGCGAATAAATCATGTGGTAGAACTCGTCGTTAAGGATTGGTCATTTTTTCCCATGATGGGTCGACTTTTGAAGCCGCGAAATTATTGTCTATTCCCTTTCAATTTTTTCCCTGACGTGATTAACTTCATTTACAAGTGAAATAAAAATTCATACACCTTAGAAAATTTGAAAATGAATATTTAAAATCCGATGTTCCTTGAATGTTGCATGCCTCATCCTTAAAAAATTCTAGAAACGCGAGGAGAAGAAAGAGGAGGAAGAGGAGGAGAAAAAGAAGAAAAAAATCGTGAAAAAGAAGAAAGAAGAGGAGGAGACGATTGAGGAGGTGAGGAAAGAAGAGGAGAAGAAGGAGGAAAAGAAGAAGGAAGAGAAGAAAAAAGTTGACGAGAAGATTGAGGAAGTGAAGACGATCGAGGAGAAAAAGAAGGAAGAGAAGAAGAAGATCGAGGAAATTAAGACAATCGAGGAGAAAAAGAAAGAAGAGAAGAAGAAGATCGATGAAGTGGCGAAAGTCGAAGAGAAAAAGAAGGTAGAGAGGAAGATCGAAGAAAAAATCGAGGATGTCAAGAAAATCCAGGACAAGGTAAAAAGGACTTTCGAAATTCACTCGATGCTTCAGGATATTGACAGACTAACAATTTTAGATATTATAAAATGCTTCAACGCTCACTCACAATTTTAACTCGGATCGGAAGATCGAGTGCTTCTAACTGAAACATCAGCCTTTCTTCACTTTTTCTTGTTTTAATTGGCAATCACGTGATCATCCATTTATTTTTTATTATTTTTATCTATCGATCGTTGAATCAAAATTTTTTGCACACGTACGTGCATTCGTAGGAAAAATCGGTATCAAATTCGATAAATGGAGATGAGGACAGCGTAATGACTCAAGATGCTGATAATCTGGTCAGTCTCGACGATTCAAGTGCTGATGAAACAATTGTCGACGAACAGTCAGAGATTTCTCAATCCATTTCAGTCGTTGAGGTACACAAAATCAAATACATCGTACCCTCTCTACTCTATTGCTGCACTCGACGCTTTTTTTTTCACTTTGGATGACCCATATGATTTCTTTTTTATTGTTTTTATCATTTTTTTTTCAAGGAAAAACCAGACACTAAACCAAATGGTATCGCAAAACCAGAGCAGGTAACGCACATTTTTCCTTCGATAATCGTTTTCCCGATTGAATTAAATATTTCAAATTTCAAGTTTCAAATTTCGTTTTAAAAATTCTTATTCGATTCCCTGTGAATTCGTATCCTAATTAATTATCCAAATGTTTTTCATGATTTTTTCACGCATGCCTCATTGTTTTATTAGGATTAAATGAATATTTGTGCTTCAAAAGTTGTACCAATCATTGTTATTCTCTTCGTTTCAGAAAAAAGAAGTCTTGGTGAGTCAGATGAAAATTATTCAATTTTCACGCTAAGAATAATAATATAATGCCTTTGAATTTGAATTATTTGACGATTACCTGATGATTTAATTAATACTTTTCCGATTTTCCCAGCTCAGCCGGCGATTTAATTCTACAATAATGGCTTACACGAGAGACCAAGGAGTCTTCAGCTTTTTGCGATAAAATTTTCAAACCGATTTATTCCCCTCTGCACGATAATCTGCATGATAATTTGCATGTTTAGTGTTTTAATTATCGGAATGACATCTCATCTCATGATTTGCTTCAAGCAGAAGAAAGACGAACAGGTGAACAATGTTGAAGTGATTGAGGAGAGGAAATCCCTCAAGGTAAGAGTCTCGAGAGGAGGGCGAGGTGAAAAAAATGCGAGAGTTGTTTTGTTTAATTGCAGAAGAAGACTGATACACCAGAGGACAAGAAGGAACCTGAGAAGAGGAAGAGCCTGAAGAAGAAGGAGCCTGAAGCCAAGGATGCATCACGAGAGACAACACCCAAACCTGACAAAATATCTTCTCGCAAATCCTCGATCAGTCGTGTCGAGGAGTTGAAGACGGAGAGCCGACGCAGCTCTCTTATATCAACTACTGAGGAAACGGTGAGTGATCGCTACTGATTGATGAGGAAAACAATTTTGATTATCAATAATGATTAATTATCAGGTTGATGAGGAAAAATCTGAGAGTCGTCGATCCTCAATCGCCAGGAGAAAGGAGTCGGTCTCATCCGAAAAGGTAAATCAAACTAGAGAATTTCTATTTATTTTTAAATAAAAATTATCATCACCGGGGGATTGAAAATGATTTTTAGAGAGAGGAATCCGCGGTGAAAGCCAGACCAAATGAAAAAATCACAGACACGAAGGTACAATACATGAAGATTATATTTATAAACATTATCTTTCGATAGAAATTTTATTCCACGAATACTTTTTAACAGAAACCTGAGAAATTGTCAGTGGAAGAACCCACGGTAGCGAAGGTAAAATTGAAAACATGAATTATAAAAATTGTCCCCTCGGAATTATCGAATTATTGCACAATCCCTGAATTTCAGAAACGTCCGTCGATTTCAAAGAAGAAAACACCTGTGGAAGAGGCCAAGGTATTCAAAATTATTCCGAATGTAATTGGCATTGAGTAGCAATAACAAATTGGAAGATTGAGTAGATTAATTCACATTGTGATTGAAAATATTTTAGGCTCAGCCCGATCTCGCGGATGAGAAGAAAAAACCTGAGGTAGATTACACAAAAAAAAATAACTATAATGCAACGCAAAGCATAAAAATCGGGGAAACGAGTTCAGAGTTTTAAAATTTTGAAAATGTGGTATTTCAGGACGATAAGCCCAGGGCTAGTCTCAAAAAACCAGAGCCACCGAAGGTACACAAACATTTTCCCTACACTAAAAACAAAAATTTTATAAGATCAACGGAATAAATGGAAAAACACAATTTCAGGAAGAGCCCAAACCCAAAACCACTGCCCCTGACACAGAAAACGCAAAGGTACAAGTCAAACAATTGAAATATTAAAATCTTTTGGGGGACGCAATTGTTTATTTAAAAGATCCGAATATTCCAGGATGAATCCACTCGTAAACCCAGTGTGACAAAACCGGAATCCCCGAAGGTACACCGTCATGAGACATTACAAAGCAACTTTAAAACAAATACTGACAAATATTACTCCTACCAAATAAATTTTCCTACCGCAACTGAATTTATATTGAATAATATTCTAACAAGTTCACGGCATTTTTATAAAAATTTTCCATCCCTGAGATTAATTAAAACTTAGATAAACTTTTCTACAAAACAATCGAAAACTCGGTTTCAGGAGGCAGCGAAACCACAATCGACTCTTGGCAAGCCCGAGGAACTCAAGGTACAAAATCCGCGAAAAAAATTTTTTAAAAATGCCTGGAGGTCCCAAAATTTTCCCAGATACTGACAAAAAAATAAATTGTATTTTTAGAAGGACGGACTTACCCCAAAACCCAAAAGTACTCTCCGCAAACCGGAACTTCCTCAGGTACACGTAAACTTGAAAAAAACCTCACTTCATCACTTCACACAACACTTCTCATTTTCTCACACATCATCAACTCATATTTATTAATGCACTAATTTCAGTAATTTGAGCTGACAGCCTTGCAGCAGTCGAAAAGGATAACCCACCAGTGAATCTCGAAATTTATCTAAAAATTTTTCTTTTATTTACAGAAAGAAGAGGCAATCCTGCGAAAGACTAGCTTGAAACCCGTCCAAAAGGTAATTTCGTAATTTCCCCGAAAAAATTCACTCAGAAAAACTAAAAAAAATCTTCGATTTCAGCCAGAAGAGAAGAACTTGAACGATGTCAAGCTCAAGGTGAGTTTGATCTCAAAGATCATCTCCAAACGTTATTACACCTGTACATATTTTTTTTATACCCACTGTAAATTATCTCAAAATTTATTAATCCAAGTACTCACTGTTTTCTGAATAAAATTAATAATAATGGTGAGGAGGTTTTTGGAGGGTAAAAATCCAACGAGTACTTGTCCAATTGGAATTAATTATTAATGTTCCGAAATCGGAAAATATAGCCAGTGAGAGCTGAAGTTGGAGAAATGGTGAAACCAATGCGTAGGATATCACTATCAGAAGCCGAATCCTTCAAAACAATCCAACTCAAACCAGTCGTTCGAGAGCCTAAAAAATCTGATACATCAGAAAATGGCTTCCTTGTCCCCAGCCTGAAGGTATCCCGTGAAAAAAACTGTAACTACTCTCTGCCATCCTCTGCCACATCTCCATCCACTCTGTCCACATCTTTATTTTCATTTTTTTTCACTTCCTAACACCTATTCACTTTAATTCTTCCTTAATTTATCTTAAACTTCATACGCCAACATTTTTTTATTCATCACCGCGACCGGGAGTGAATGACTGGACGGCTTCAAAAAATAAAACCAACGGTCACCGGCAGAGGGAGAATTTCTAGAATTCAAATTCGTCCTGATTTCAGAGTCAATCGGAAATTCCAGATGATTATCCTCATTTAATGAATTATTAATTCAGTAGCAAAATGAAAATTCGAATTATTCAGTGAATTTCCGGATTTTCCTAGAAATTTTTCATCTTGCAATTTTTGTGGTGATGGCATGTGGTAACCAGCATGTAGACAGCCGCAATCAGAAAGCGATAATTAACAAGATTTATAATTGAAAATAATTAGAAAACAGAGAAAGGGGAGAAGCAGGACGTGAAGAAGATGAAGGGATCGAAAGCTGACAAGGAGAAGAGCTATGAGCTGCCAGAAATACCAGATTATGAGCGCGCGGTCCTAGAAAAGCCCCAGGAGTTCGAATTCAGTGCATATGAGGGACGTGATAAGACGAAACTCGAACGTCCATCCACTCAGAAATTCGACTCCAAGGTATTTCGATTTCTATCATGACTCAACCACTCAAAAATCCTCTCATAATCGTTGAATACTCATTCAAAAATTTCAACGACTTCCTCCCAAAACTAATTGCACACTTCTCAGATAATTCCACTTGTCTTCTACCTCATTTAATCGCGCAGAGACATCAGAACGCTCGTGATTCTTTTGGCACTCTATGAACATCACGCACAGAAAAACATCTTTCATCGGATAGCCGTGTAAAAATAAAAATTATCATTCAATCATTTGAATTATTTTGCTGATTTTTTTCACAAGCCGCAGAAAAGAAAAGGAAAAGGAATCCAAGAATTTGAAATATTTCTCTGTTATTATTTGCGACGCGAGTCTCTCCCTAACTCGTCAATTATTTAATTAAAAAAAACGGCCAGAATCCGGTCGCGAATGGTCGGGCGAGAGTCAGAGGGACACGAATTATCTATTTTCGGTTTTAAGATGTAGAGTCGTGTGACTTGGTGGTCAGCGATTGAGAGCTGCGGTTAGTCATGGACTCAGAGAGTCACCTGAGGGCTCGGAGGGCTCAGATAAATAATTGAAGTTGTGACGATATCGGGGGATCAGTGAGACGAGTGAATAATTTCCTCTTTCCAGCCCAAAGTACCAGAGATTAAGACACCGGAGATCAAGGCCCCAGAGGCACCGACGATCGAAGTATCCAAGGAGAAATCACCGACTCCATCGCCTCTTGGAAGCAGAAGACCCTCTCTGGTGCCCAGTGGAGCTGGTAGCAGGAGAGGATCCTTGATTCCTCCAGAGGAATTGGGTCGCAGGGCCAGTCTTATCATCAGTGACGAGGTATGTTACTGGGAGATTACCTTTTTCTGGGGTATAAATCACTTGATGGTCTCATTAAATATTGCACCATTTACTCTTCTCTTTTTTCATTCATACAAAAAAAAATCGGTTTGGAGAGATGAATAAATCACGAGGGAAATGAAAAGAAAATTCATTGGAAAATCAATTGAAATTTTGAATTTGTTCATCTCGTTTCACTCTTTCTTCACTGGTGAAAAAAAAAATTCATTGACGAAATTAAACGGAATTCTCTTGAATTTTTATGTGAATTCCATCAAAAAAAAATTTTCACACGTTTGAATTCTGAGGTTTTTTGAGGCCAGTAGATTATTCGTTACCCGTTTGCTCCTAGCACTCTGTAAAGTATTCGTTTCTCTTTTAATTTCCTCTTGTTTATCCCACAGTTGTTTTTTTTTGTATTTGAGTATTGAGTATTCCCCTGTATTATCGTCCAGTATTCGAATTCAACAATCCTGCGCCTCAAATCCTTCCCCACAAATTTTACAACTATTCAGAAATCATGTAGAGCATCAATTTGAAGTCGAGGGTAGATCCATTGGTCGTTACTGAAGATTTATCTGGATATCAGGAGCTGGATCCAAGGAATTTATAGATTTAATACATTACACTCGACACATTAACACCCAAATACCTCTGATTCATAGGACAATAGGAAACTTCGTCCCGGTGAGGTGATTGAGGAGAAGAAGGTGAGATATTTCACCAGAAATTAAAGGGACTACAATTTATATCACGTAATCCACTAAATGCAACAAATCTAATTATATCTTTGCAACTCTTACAATACATTTTTTTCACTTACACTCTTGCACACGCACGTATATATCAAATATTTCCAATGAACAGAGAATATTTTCTTTTTCTTTTTTCATTGTCTGTTGCATCAGTGAAGTGGCGATTCCGGTGATTGAATCCGTGATTTAATCGGTAACGAAGGGGACAACCCATTTTGTGCCCAAACTAAGGGAGACTGTGAATTTTTTTTTAAGACCTTTTTTGTAGAGAGCGATGAGTGGCATAAAAAAGGTGGTTATGAAAATTTTGATATCTCCATGAGATTTATCATTTTTTTGGATTTTTTCATTCAATCGTTCCATAAAAATCACGATATGTCATCCATTCACAATCCAATATTAATCTATTACTCTTCTACAATTACCACTTCACTGAAATATTCGAGGTCCCAGGCTTGAATTTTCATCCCGGAAATTCGATTAATCAATACCAAAAAAAAATCGTAATTGCAATCGACTGCAGTAATTCGGAAAAGCTTACGAATTTCTGTGGATAAAATTCTGGGATTGAGTGAGGCAACCCTGAAATTAATGAATAATGTTAAGAAAATGAAAAAAAAAATCATTCTGAAATCAGCAGCAAGCATTAATAATGATGCACTACTTGCACCTGGCACGGATTATCAGACAGCAGAAGCATGTCTTATTTTTCCCTCTCACTCCTCCTTTTATCGATGACTGGGATAATAATAATGTTACGTGTAATAATAATACCGCAGGTAAAGTCGAAATGGAGTGTCTCGAAATATCCATGTCACATTTTGCATAAAGACACATTTGTATCAGAAGATCTGATCCATGGAGCACTTTGCACGTCCATTTGCCCCGCAGGGTGGGTAATTAAATTTCTTAAAATACAATATCTCGAAATAGTTGGGTGTCAGTTTTTGGTTGACCCAGGGTATTCTGCCAGATGGCAAATTTTCGATACTTCAGTTCTAGAGTGCTAGACCAGTCATTGGATGTGAATCATTAAATTTCAGACGGTGAAATCACGCTAATGGTCTAGGTGGGCGAGTCACATTTTCTCCATTCGCAATCCATCATCACGGTTAATTGCACTCGTGATATGAATCCCATGTTTCCATGCCAAGATTATTATTTTATGAATTGAATGGCCAGCGAGAATGCCAGGGCCATAAAAAATTTTCACCTGAGAATTTATTTTCTTCATAAAACATTCGGTATTTCCAGGAGAAAATCCTCGAGTCTCAGTCCTATTATTAATTCAAATAAATTATTATTATTATTATAATTGGTGAAATTCGATCGGATGCTTTTGGAGTTTGGAAAATTTATTGAATTCATTGAGCATTGTTTAATCAACATTATTGGACCGATGGGGATAGGCGAGAGGCAATAATTCCGAGTCAAAAACACATGTTCTGGCACTCGTTGTCGACCAGATGGAATGCATTACCAATCGAGACATGTTGCCACGGGGTAATTAAGCTTGACGAATTGTCTCGCTGATGCTCTCGTATCTCAACGTGTTAACAGTTTAACATCAATGTACGGATTAAGTGTGATGATCATTACGAATCGGGTGAAATCACTTTTCCCTGTATTATAACTGTAACGGCCGTTTGATAATTTCAAAATAAAAAAAAAATGATTTCTGCACCGATCCTTGAAAATCCAATTCAATCAATTTTATCAGTTCATTCATTTATCCGGATATTTCGAGAAATCATCAATCTTCCAATCGACTTTTCAGCGGCTGCATTTTTTCTAGCGTTTCGATACGAAATTCTTGTGCGGAGAGAAATGTTCAATGTTTAATTAAAAAATTACGGAGTAATAATTGGCGATTGTTGGGGATTTTCATTTTTTATAAATATTGGCAATTGTCTGTGGATTTTGTGAAATTTTTTAATAATTATCCGGAATTTTTTATTGAATTTTCCTCTTTGCAATTATTACGACGACGACATTCTGGGAAGCTGGACGGACTCAATTATTTAATGAATTATTTCATGCCATCGCCATAGCCATGGACATCATCTCATCGTCATCAATAAATCCTTATGTGTAATTTGAAAATTCATCTCTATTAATCAATCACTTGTCAGTAATTCATCTCATTGTCTGTGTAATTCTCTGCAGGGTGGGAAATTACGCCCGGGGGAGGTGTATGACGTTAAGGTGAGATTTGTGTTTTGCTGTAACACAAAGCTTACCACCTGGGGTCAAAACCAAGGGATTTGTAATTTTCCAAATGTTTAATCCCTTCGAGAATAAAAAAATTAATCATAAAATAAAAATTACAGACCCCTTGGTGCCAACACCATTGGCCCTAATTATTTTTCACCGCAATTTGACGTTTTCCCTGAGATTTCGCGACTCCGATTAATCATTATCTCACGTTCATACTCTTCATCATCATTACCACATCATCGAGGACAACGACAATGACAAATGGAAATACAAAGACCGGCGAAACAGTTTAACGATATCCCTAATTTTCTTCACTCTTTAATCAACACATTAATTACGATTAATTACAGCTGCTGCTGTTGTCGCTGGCCAATTGACAATTCAAAATTACGCATTGTATTAATATCATGAAATTATATTAAACCCAATATCACCTGGAAGTCCTAAATATTCCTGGAATAATTCACGCTCATGTCACGATTATTACATTTTTTTTTAATGCAATCATGACTTTTTACGAAGCAGATCAGGCACGGTCGACCTGGTGAGGTGCAAACCGGAAGACAGGTTAGGCTTTTTCGAAAAAAAAAATCAAAATAAATCATATCGAGATTTTTTTTCATTACGTGTTTTTTTATACTCGTCTCTAAATTGTATAAACATTGTGGTTAATTGTTGTATGATGCTGCGAGTAATTGTACGTGCGAAAAAAAATTGATAGAACAATTTTCACTAGCCATTGATCAATTATTCTATTGATTTTTTTCACACGCGCATGATAGAACGCACACGAAGTCATTTAATACCGAGAGAATTTTTTCGCAGTCGCTGAAAAATTCTAGAGATCTTTAAAAAAATGAATATTATGTTGACATAAAAAATTGTGAGTCGTACGTTAAAGTAGAAATTTTGGAAACTTCCAAAATATTTTTCCTGAAATTAGAAAAATGAGAATATCTCAGCGGCAGCGAAAATTCACTCAAAAATGGAAAATTAAATTGTACAGTTGGTGTCTTAGAAAGAGAATTATTCATTCAACAGCTCTGTAAATATTCACGTGATTTTTATTGTAAATAATCCACGTCTTAGAGTAGATAAAAGATCCGTGGAACGGATAATGGGAGCAGAGACCTGCGATCTCGAAATTACTCTTCACTTGGGTCGCTCATTAATTCATGAAAGGACTTGTAAATATTCTCATCATCACCGGCGAGACTGCGCGACCAATATAGATTGATTAATTCCATTGATTCCCAATTAACCCGACGAGGCCGTGCGCTCAATAAAATAATTGAAATACCTTGACACAAAGCCAGAGATCGACTGGTGATTTACTATTTCAACTAATTGGGAGAATTTACTTGCAACTCATGAATCTCCATATTTTTTCAGCGTCCCACAGTCTCTCCGGTCCACTATTTAATATATTATTCATTCTAGAAAATTCACATGTCATCACGTCATTTCATTATCAACTTTATTATCAAGTTTTACTCATTCTTTAATTATACTTCATTATCCCAGACCTCATTAAATCCCAAATCTACCAGTTATCTGTTACTATTGTTTTTTTAACCCGTTGTGACTAATTTTTTTATCTCTAATTTGTCTAACGTAACACCCTTTAGTTAACTCCAATAAATTATTCCATTGTTTTTGTGGCTTGTCAATCAATCGATCAATTTTCAGTTATCGATTCACGCATTACGAAAATTAAAGGACAACCTTCCACTGGAAATTCTACACATATGTAATTTTTTCTATAAATTATTGCACTCCAGATAATTAATTTCTCTCATTTTTCCTCACTTGTCGTAAAATACCAGTTTTATTGAAGGCATGTCTGTCAATTTTTTATGTGCGTGGTAAAAACGCAGGTAAGACTCGGGATAACTGAAAACAATAAAATATTGACGCAGAAGAATATAAGAAAAAATACAGGATAGGCCGAAATCGTATTAAAAATTTATCTGTAATGAAAAATACGTGAAATCTCAATTTAGCACATGTTTCCTACACATTGTCAATAAATTTGAAGAAATATTTCGAATTGGCTGATTCTACGTGTATTTTTTGGCTATTTCAAAATGGAGATTGGTTTGACAAATAGCTAGATGACGGATTAATAATCATAAAATGATAATTCATTGAATAACGATGAAATAAATAATGAACAGAGACGTCGCCCAAGTGCGGACCTCAGGAGACCAAGCGTGGCGGACCTAGAGAATAGAATCAACCAACCTAGTACACCCCTCCGAGATGTTGGATCCGGTGGGCCACCCTCAATTGTCGACGTGCAGGAGTCGTACCCCGTGGTGGAGGATGCCACGGGGTACGTCACCGTTCAGGTCGAGGGTAATCCAGCGCCGACCTTTAAATGGTACAAAGGCATGACCGAGATCCACGAGGGTGGTAGATTCAAGTTCCTCACCGACTCCGAGACCAACACCATCACCCTCTGCATGAGAAAAGTCAAGCCCAATGATGAGGGACAGTATAAAATTGTTGTCAGCAATATTCATGGCGAGGATTCCGCCGAAATGGCTGTCTACGTCTCCGGTAATTCCAGTCGTTTCATTATTCATCTCATTATTAAAAATATTCAGTGCTGATAATTATATAATATATTCGGATTAACCAGATGCCAGTGGCATGGACTTCCGGTCGATGCTGAAGAAACGGAAGTACGCAAAATGGGGGAGAGATAAGGATGAATTAGAGAAACCTGATCTAAAGGAAGTGGAGAAACCGTCGGTGGCTTTGAAAAAAGTTGAGAGGGTAGGTATCGCTTCGGTTCACTTTGGATTACTCAATTATTTATTGATTACTCAACAGCCGAGCTAAATCTGCATTAAATTAAAATATGTAAGACTACTTCGACGCTGTAGACTCGTGAGTCAATGATTTATCTGTCGATTTAATCGTTTACTCGTTCGATTTTTATTGATAGTCGTATGACTAATGTGTTTATACAGCACGTTGTGAAAAATTCCGTGTAGTTCAATCCTCCAAGCATTCAGATACAGTTGCAATATCTTTAGCCACTTCCTGGGGGGAGGAGCTGGTATCAGGATGGAAATGAAATTGTCATCTTTGTGGAGGACGAGAAGGAGCTGAGGATACCACTCGATAAAAAGGGCGAAGCCAACTGGAGCTGGCTAAAGGTCTTTTCTCAAATCCCATGGAAATTCCTTTCCCTCTGAACGATTTTCCCAGTTTTTCGTGGAATCTATTATTTTATTTTTGTCTTCTGGAATTTTGTGATCCCTGTGAACTGTTTTCCCCGGTCTTGAATTTTTCTCCCCTTTTTTTTAATTATTTTCATTTCGTACAAAAGACCCTTGGACTCTCGTGGCAGCAGAAATCGAAAAAAAAATCTATAATTCAATTTTTTTTTTCAGAAATTCTGTGTAATTAGCGAGAATTCTGGGAGCCTCGTAGATTTTTTTTATTCCTCATTCCAATGACTTGTGTAAAAAAATTCTTGGAGCAGATTCAATATTTTTTCTGAAATTTAGTTTAGACTCCTTGAAAATTCCCTGTCCCTGTGAATATCGCTGCCCCTCATGATTTATTCAATGATCATGAGACAACGATGCACTTCGAGGATCAAATCACCCGATTAATTCGTTGATATAATTTTCATTGGGCGGAATAACTCGATGGAGACAGGATATATTCGACATTCAGCGTAGACCAAGCTTGCAGGAGTTGATCACCGACTGGCCGAAGCTCGTCGTTCGAATAAAAAAAAAGGTTCGCATTTCGTTTCAGTGAAATTCCCACCCTCGAGGAAACCCATCGCAATGGCTCACGTGCGGATAAATTTCATTGAAAAATCACTGAAATCTTTTAACAATTAAAAGATTATTTCTCTGAAAAAATCGAATTCAAAGTATCGGGTCTTGAAATTTTTTCAAAAAAAATTTTCCCGCGTTCATCAATAATCGATGAAATTCGTTGTAGTTTTGAATGGTTTCGACGGGGATTCCCCGGATTTTCTCAGAGAAATTCGCTCTTTCAATGAAAATTTCTCCCCAATTAACATTGACCTGCTTCAGGTGCGATTTTCTTTCATGTCTTCTTGGCCTGTCCTCACGTAAATTAGAGGAATGAATTCACTGACTGGAATCGGTCGATCCTCGAAGTGCCATTGAAACGGGAAACGAAGCCGACCTGAGTTGTTTGATTTTTCATCAATATCCAATCGAGAATTACATAATCTCGTGAATTGGAGGAGTCCTCCCACCCACCCACAGAAATAATGTTTAACCGACCGAATTTTTACTCATTAAACTGGTAAATTGAAAAAACTCGACGCGTTTCTTATTTCTAGTGTAGTGGAAATAGGGGATCACGTAGGCTATCGCTGGCTGAATTAATACCAGACTGGCCGACCCTTCATCACTTCATCAAGACGGAGGTTCGATCGAGAAATGATGGAATATTCAATGTCGTATTCGTCTTTCTGTATTATATTTTTTTCTGCATCTCTCGGTGTCATTGCACGTTGTGCATTCAACAATTCGATAACGCATTTGCATAAACGAAAACAACGCAGAGAATATATTTAAATGAGTTAACATCCACGATGGCTCGTTTAACAGCATCATATCAGGCATGGATACACCACCAATCCATACCATTTTTTTTTTTTATATTATTCATGTCATTTCATTTAGGTGGAGAATGTCTCGTCGATGGTTCACAGCGTGTCTCTCCTTTATTATTAATTTTTTTTTCCCATTTGTTCCTGGACTTTCTAGAAGCAAGACTCATTCCTCAAACCTCTGGTCGATCAGTATGCCAAGGAAGGCAAGGACAAGAAGGTCAGCTTCGACGCCAACTTCTCGAAACCCAATGCCAAACCCAAGTGGTTCTTCAGGAAGGATGTGAGATCCATATATTTTTTAATCCATGAATTTTTTAATTGTGAAATTTTGGAGATTGCAACGTTCACTTCTTTCTACAGGAACTCTTCCCATCGCCAAAGTATAAATTTAAAAATGAAGAAGATTCGTATCAGCTCATCATTTCAAATCCCAAAGTCGAGGACACTGGAAAGTACACGATTGATATCGGTGGAATAACCAGCACTGCTTTTCTGAATGTCGATGAGCCCGACCCATCATACACATTCATTAAGCCCCTGTCAAAGCAATCAGCAGGTTACACAAGACACGAAGTCTTCATGGAGTGCACTCTGAGCTCAAACATGGCAACAGTCACCTGGTACAAGGGCAAGACAAAACTGGAGGATGGCGATGTCTACAGCATCTCCAAGGACATGTCAGGTGTTTGCAGGTTGACAATAAAGAAGGGAAAATTGGAGGACAGCGGTGAGTACATCTGCAAAATCAACAAGCAGACGGAGAAGACAGAGACTGTCCTGACAGTGGAGGACTACCCCTACAAGTTCGTCAAAGTCCTCAAGCACCAGACAACAACCGAGAAAGAAACGATAACTCTCCTCTGCGAGCTGGACGATGAGGCTGGAGACGTGGAGTGGTTCAAAGGTGATCAGAAAATAACAGCTGACAAACGAGTTCAAATAAAAGAGGATGGCCGCAAGCGAAAGCTCGTCATTAAGGACTGCAAGGTGACGGATGCAGGACTTTATTCATGTGTCAGCAATGCGGACAAGACCGAGGCTGAGATCATCGTCAACTACCTGAATCGTTTCAACAAGAAGCTAAAAGACACAACAGCTGTTGAACGTGAGAAATTGGTACTCGATGTTGAACTTCAAGATCAGACAGCACCAGCTGAATGGTTCTTCAATGGAAAACCCATCGAGCCAAACGACAGGATTGAGATTAAAAATTTGGGTGGAGGTAAACACCAGCTGGTATTCAACAAGGCAGAGATGACGGACGACGGAGAGATCACGTGCAAGAGTGGAGAGTTGAGCAGCAGCTGTCAGTTGACAGTGAGAAAGGGTGAAAGCAAACCAATAGCTGAGATACCGGACAAGATTGAGGGACCGTGTGCATCCCCGATTGTCTTCACGATACCCTACAAGGTCGAGGGAACGAAACAGACACCTGTGGAGGCAAAACTGATGAAGGACGGAAAGGCCCTGCCCCTCAAGGATGTCGAGATCGTCGTGGGAGAGGATAAGATCACCTTCAAGATCAAAAAACCTCAGAGGGATCTTTCTGGCATCTACCAAGTGAGAATTGGCAATGGACAGGGTGAAGAAGTAAAAGACGTAAATGTCGTAATGCAGGACGCTCCATCGCCACCACGGGACGTCGACGTTACTGATGTCTTCGCCACGTCGTGCGTCGTCTCCTGGAAGCCCTCTGAGGATGACGGCGGCTCTCCCATCACGAAATACGTGATAGAACGCCTGGACATGAGCCTGAAAAATCAGTGGGACAGTGTGGGTGAGGTACTCCCAACAGAAAAATGTAAATTCAAAGTTGAAGACTTGAAGACGAAGAAGGAGTACAAATTCAGGATTCGTGCGGTTAATAAAATAGCCTCGAGTGAACCAGCGACATTTGGAAAGCCTGTCCTGGCCAAGGACCCCTGGGACGAGCCTGGAAAACCTGGTAATGTGGAAGTCGTCGACTGGGACGTGGATCATGCGGATTTAACCTGGACGAAACCTGAGAGTGATGGAGGTGCACCCATCACTGGATACGTCATCGAGTACAAGGAGAAATTTGGCAAGGAGTGGGTCAAGGGGAAGGAGATCGAGGGTGATGTCACCAAGGGGACAATCGATGGTTTGAAAGAGGGTGGACAGTACGAGTTCAGAATTCGTGCTGTCAACAAGGCTGGACCTGGCACACCATCTGAGCCCACTAAACCAATAATAGCTAAATGCAGATTTGTCAAGCCATTCATCATTGGTGATCAGCTGACGAATCTTGTTGTTAAGAAAGGACAGGTTATCAAGTACGATATCAAGTATGGTGGAGAACCCGAGCCTGAGGTCAAGTGGTTCCTGGGGACCAAGGAACTCGTTCAAGATGCTGGTGAGAGAATTACCATTGATAAGTACGAACGCAATACAGTACTCACTGTCAGAAAAACTCTTCGTGCTGATTCGGGTAAGTATAAATTGCTCCTCAGCAATGGATCTGGCCAGTGCGAGAGCATGGCCGATGTTGTCGTGCTGGATAAGCCAACACCACCCAAGGGACCACTTGTCACTGAAGAAGTACGATCTGATCATATCACTGTCAAGTGGAAGAAACCCGTTGATGATGGGGGTACTGACATCACCGGATACGCCCTCGAGAAAATGGATATGGACACTGGACGATGGATTCCTGCTGGTGAAGTTGGACCTGAGATGGACACCTTCACATTCCCAGGTCTCACCCAGAACAAGAAGTACAAGTTCAGAGTTAAAGCGATAAACAAAGAGGGAGAGTCTGAACCACTTGTCACCGATGAGGCCATCGTTGCTAAGAATCCGTACGACGAGCCTGATAAACCTGGAAAGCCTGAGATCTTTGATTACGATAATATGAGTGTATCGCTGAGATGGGCGAAGCCTGAGAAGGACGGAGGTCGTCCAATTACTCATTACGTCGTAGAAATGAAGGACAAGTTCTCGCCGGATTGGGTGGAAGTCATGAAAACACCTGATGCCACTGCTGAGGCCAAGGTCGAGGGACTCAAAGAGAAAATGGTTTATCAGTTCAGGGTTCGTGCTGCTAATAAAGCTGGATTGTCACAGCCCAGTGAACCCACTGATAATCACATCTGCAAGCACAGGAATCTTAAGCCTAGAATTGATCGTACAAACTTGAAGTCGGTTGTTATCAAGGCTGGACGCAATCACAAGTGGTCTGTCGATGTCATTGGTGAACCGCCACCAGTCATCAATTGGATCTGGAGGGACAATATTCCCCTGACCTCCACCGAGAGGATTAAAATCGAGAATGTCGACTATCACACTGACTTCAGCATCATCAATGCTGTGAGAAAGGACACTGGCAAGTACACTATCACTGCTGAAAATGTCAATGGAAGGGACGAGGAGAGTGTCGAACTGACAGTTCTTGGGAAGCCTGATGCACCTGGTGGACCACTCGTTGTGTCAGATGTTACAAATAAATCGGCCAAAGTCAAGTGGCAGAAACCCGAGGACGACGGTGGAGTGCCAATCAAGGAGTACGAGATCGAGAGAATGGATACCAAAACTGGAAAGTGGGTGAGATGTGGAAAAGTACCTGGTAATTCTCCCAACACTGAGTTTGAGATCACTGGATTGAATCCAGGTAGTGAGTACCTCTTCAGAGTGACAGCTGTCAATGATGAAGGTGACTCTGAGCCACTCACCAGCGAAAAACCAATTCTCGCTAAAAATCCATTCGATGAACCACACGCACCAGGAACACCTCTCATCACGGATTATGATAATGAGTCTGTCAGCATCAAGTGGACAGCCCCAGATTTCGATGGTGGTGCACCAATAGAGAAATACATTATCGAGAAGAAAGACAAGTACAAGCCTGACTGGGAGAAGGCTATGGAGGTGCCAGCAACGGATGATCTCACAGCCAGAGTTGATGGCCTGAAAGATCGAGCTGAGTATCAGTTCAGAGTTATAGCTGTCAATAAGGCAGGGCTTTCTCCACCATCTGGTGCTTCTAAAATGCAGATGGTTAAGCACAAAGCCCTGAAACCGAGAATCGATCGTACGAATTTGAAGCCAATTGTTGTGAGGGCTGGCAAAACAATAAAATACGACGTTGATGTACGTGGTGAGCCTCCACCCGAGATCACCTGGTATCACAAGGACACTCTTGTGAAATCTGGTGAGAACATTGAAATTGTCAATGTCGATTACAACACGAAGATCACGATATCAGAAGCTCTTCGGAAGAATACTGGGGTGTGGAAGATTAAGGCGGTTAATGCTTCTGGAGAGGATGAGGCAGAGGTCGAGGTGACCGTTCTATCGGCTCCTGGTAAACCAAAGGGTCCCCTCAAGGTGTCGGACGTCACGAAAAATGGATGCAAACTCAAGTGGGAGAAGCCAGAGGATGACGGTGGTAAACCCATCACTGGGTACCAAGTCGAGAAGCTTGACAAGACAACAGGACGTTGGGTGCCAGTTGGCAGGACCAATGACACAGAGATGGATGTCAAAGGATTGGCAGATGGACATGAGTACGAATTCCGAGTCAAGGCGATCAATGAAGAGGGCGAGTCCGAGCCACTGACAACAGACCGTGCAATTGTCGCGAAAAATCCATTCGACGCTGCTGACAGACCTGGAGTACCTGAATTTGAGGACTGGGATGTCGACAGGGTAGATCTCAAGTGGAAGCCACCGAAGAGCGATGGAGGTGCCCCAATCACTGGTTATATTATCGAGAAGAAAGAAAAATTGTCACCGCACTGGGAGGAGGCAGCTGAGACCACTGGACCCGAACCAAAGGGTCGAGTTGAGGGCCTCATCAAGGGCAAAGTTTATCAATTCCGGGTCCGAGCTGTTAACAAGGCTGGACCCTCCGAACCCAGTGATCCAACGAAACCCCACACCGCCAAGGCTAGATTCCTCAAGCCCCACATCAATCGTGAGAAACTTCAGCAGATAAAAGTTCGCGCTGGTCAGCACGTGAAGCTTGAGGTTGACGTCGAGGGTGAACCACCACCAACCATCACCTGGGCACGTGGTGCTAAAGTCCTGGAGAACACTCCCAATCTGAAGATCGAGAACGAGGACTACCTCACCAGAATCAATATGTCCCATACGACACGCAAGGACACGGGCAAATACACGATTACAGCTGTCAATGACTCAGGCCGCGACGAGGCTGACGTTGAGATAATAATTTTGGATAAGCCTGACAAGCCAGAGGGACCGCTGGAGGTGGTGGATGTTCACAAAGAGGGATGCAAGCTCAAGTGGAAGAAACCGAAGGACGACGGTGGACTTCCTCTCTCGTCGTACATCGTCGAGAAGATGGACGTCACCACGGGGAGGTGGGTTCAAGCTGGTGTTGTCGATCCTGAGAAAACCGAGGCAGTTATCACGGGATTGGAGCCTGGACACAAGTACGAGTTCAGGGTCAAGGCTGTCAATGAAGAGGGCGAGTCAGAGCCACTCAACACAGACACTGCGATCGTCGCCAAAAATCCATACGACGCACCAGCAGCACCTGGACTACCGGAAATCATCGACTGGACTGAGAACACCGTGACTCTCAAATGGGAACCTCCTCACAGAGATGGTGGTGCTCCCATCACTGGTTACATTCTCGAGATGAAGGAGAAATTTGGTACTAATTTCGTCAAGGCTGCGGAGACCTTTGGCCCCAAGTGCGAGGGAATTGTGCCGAAATTGGTTGAGGGTAATCAGTATCAATTCCGGGTACGTGCTGTCAATAAAGCAGGACCTGGTGAACCAAGTGAAGCTACTAATCTTCACACTGCCAAGGCCCGATGGCTCAAACCCCACATCGACAGGACAAATCTCAATCCACTGACTGTCAAAGTCGGTCTGACAATTAGTCTCGATGTCAATATCATCGGTGAACCCCCACCAACGATTTCCTGGAGCTTCAAGGACTCGCCAATCCAGACAGATGACGTCTACCGAATCGACAACATCGATTACAACACAAAATTCTTTGTTTTGAAAGCGAAACGAACGCACACTGGAATATACAAGATCTTCGCGAAGAATGAAGTCGGGGAGGACGAGGCAGAGATCGAGATCACAGTCTTGGGTAAGCCCTCGAAGCCAAAAGGACCACTGGACGTCACCGACGTGACCAAACACGGTTGCAAGCTCAAGTGGAAACGACCAGAGGACGACGGGGGTTCCCCCATTGAATATTATGAGATCGAGAAGCTGGATCCACTGACAGGTATGTGGATACCGTGCGCCAGGGCAACTGAGCCCGAGGCCAACATCACTGGCCTCCTGGAGGGTAAGCCATACAAATTCCGGGTGAAAGCTGTCAACAAGGAAGGGGAGTCCGAGGAGCTAGAGGCGGACAAATCCATCATCGCCAAAAATCCTTTCAACGAACCCAGCAAACCTGGACGTCCAGATGTCAAGGACTGGGACAAGGACTTCGTAGATCTGGCTTGGTCACCCCCTGACGACGATGGAGGTGCTATTATCGAGAAATATATCGTCCAGATGAGGGATAAGGATGGCAGACAGTGGGTGGATGCTGCGATGGTTGTCGGGGATAAAACTCACGCCAAAGTCACTGAGGGAATTGAACCTGGGCACGAATATGAATTCAGAGTTGTGGCTGTCAATAAAGCAGGTGCCAGTGAACCCAGTGATGTCTCGAAGTCTGTGATAGCGAAGCCGAGATTCCTTGCACCCAGGATCGATCGGAAAAACTTGGGAAAGAAGACGCTGAGAGTTGGACAAATGCTGAGGCTCGAGGCGGATATCAAGGGCGAGCCACCGCCATCCGTCACCTGGAAATACAAGGACGCTATCCTCAAGAGCGTTGATCGTCTCAAGATCGATAACGAGGATTATCACACCCTCTTTATTCTCAGTAAGCTCCAGAGAGCTGACACTGGGAGCTACGTCGTCACTGCCAAGAATGAAAGTGGAACGGACGAAGTAGAGATCGAAGTTATTGTCACCAGTAAACCCAGCAAGCCAAAAGGACCGCTGGATGTGGCTGATGTGACGGCTGATGGGTGTAAACTCAAATGGAAAGCACCTGAGGACGATGGAGGGGAGCCAATCGACCATTATGTCGTTGAGAGGATGGATGTGGACACTGGAAGGTGGGTGCCATGTGCGCAAACGAAGAATCCGGAGGCAGAGATCACTGGACTCAATGAGGGAAAGGATTACATGTTCAGGGTGAAGGCTGTCAATGCTGAGGGTGACTCTGAGCCTCTCGAGACTGATATTCCGATCACTGCTAAGAATCCTTTCAAGGAACCCGATCCACCTGGTAAGCCTGAGTTCAAGGACTGGGACAAGAGGCATGTCGATCTCAAGTGGACAGCACCAAAGAGGGATGGAGGCGCTCCCATTGAAAAATATATTATTGAGAAGAAGGATATGTATGGCAAGTGGCAGAAGGCTGCTGAGGTACCTGGAAATCAGACTCGTGGCACCGTTGATGATCTCACTGAGGGACAGAAATACCAATTCAGGGTGAAGGCTGTTAATAAAGGGGGTGTCTCTCAACCAAGTGATCCCAGTGATATTCTCACAGCTAAGGATCGATTTGCTGCACCCAGGATTGACAGGACCAATCTCAGAGATCTCACCATCAAAGCTGGCAATCATATTCGTCTCGATGTCAAGGTCAGTGGCGAACCACCTCCAGTCAAGGTCTGGTGGCATAATAAAGTCAAGATGGAAGATGGACAATTTGTCCAGATCGAGGTTGAGGATTATAAGACCAAGTTTATGGTCGGGTCTGCCACTAGGGCACATTGTGGAACACTCACGTTGAAAGTGGAGAACGACTCTGGGAGGGATGAGGCCACGATCGATATTCTTGTACTTGATAAACCTGGAAAGCCTGAGGGACCTCTTAAAGTCTCTGATGTTCATAAGGAGGGGTGCACTCTCAAGTGGAATTCACCTCTCGACGATGGTGGAGTACCCATCGAACATTATGTTGTGGAAAAACAGGATGCCGAGACTGGCAGGTGGATTCCTGTGGGAAGAACCAAGGAACCCAACTTCGAGGTGGATAATCTTGTGCCTGGGCAGGAGTATAAGTTCAGAGTTGCTGCGGTTAATGCCGAGGGCGAATCTGAGCCTCTGGTAACGGATCACAGTATTGTGGCGAAGAATCCATTCGGTGAGTTTTGTTCGGTATTTTTTTTTTTTACCGGAATTCTTTTTATTCGTACAAATTAATGAAAATAAAATTTTCAGACGAGCCAGGCGCACCAGGTCGTCCCGAGGCAACCGACTGGGACAAGGATCACGTCGACCTAAGATGGACTCCACCGTTGACTGACGGTGGAAATCCAATCACTGGTTACGTAATCGAAAAACGAGAGAAGAATTCCCCGAAGTGGGTGAAAGCATGCGAAACGGTTGGCCCCGAGTGCAAAGGTCGAGCTGAAAATCTCGATGAAGGAACTGAGTACGAGTTCAGGGTCAGGGCAATAAACGCAGCTGGTCCCGGTGAACCCTCCGACGCCTCGAAATCTGTCATCGCTAAGTGCCGACGAGGTAAGTACCCAATTAAATTCTCCGTTTATAATTACTACTTGTGACGTGAAATAATTAACGAAAATGATGAATTCTGTCGAACTAATTGGTATTCATTGCAAATGTTTAATTATCGTCATGTAGTACCCCCGAAGATTGATCGCCGCAATCTTCGAGACGTTAATTGTCGTGAAGGAGAGCGATTCCACTTCGACGTAAAGGTATCCGGTGAACCCGCACCAGATGTTACCTGGTTAATCAATGAGAAGAGTGTGCACGTGACAACTCATCGCAAAGTCGTCAATGAACCGAACAATACGAAATTCTACAATGACAAAGCTGAGCGGAAAGACACTGGCATATACAAAATTACAGCTGTCAATCAATATGGCAGCGATACAGCTGAAGTCGAGGTCATTGTCGTCTGTGAGTACCTCTCGTTACGATAAATCAGGTTGAGGACACAATTAATTAAAAATAACCTGCCCTCAATTCGCGCCTTCACTCATTTCGCAATGCATTATTTATTGATCGATTTAACGCATTATTAATAACTGGGGAATCAAACAGAAAATTAAATTGCAATTTTCCGTTGATTTTCTATTAAATTGACGTGAAATTAATTTTCCCATTTTTCCACTCAATTATTATTTTCGATTTCATGTTATTTCTCGATTTTTCGAAAAAATTATATTATTTTATCCAGCGAAACCATCGAAGCCAGAGGGTCCCCTGGACGTCTCGGACATCCACAAGGACGGTTGCACCCTTAAATGGAAAAAACCGAAGGACGACGGTGGTGAGCCGATCGAGGGCTACCTCGTCGAAAAATATGATCCAGAGACCGGTGTCTGGTTGCCAGTTGGTAAGTGTGCAGGGACAGAGATGAAGGTGGAGGGCCTAACCCCAGGTCATGAATACAAATTCCGAGTGAAAGCCATTAATTCCGAGGGTGAATCCGAGCCCCTGGAGACTTATGGCTCGATTATCGCAAAGGATCCGTTCACGGTTCCATCGGCACCTGGTGCACCAGAACCCACCGACTGGTCAGCAAATACTGTTGACCTGAAATGGCGAGAGCCCTTCACAGACGGTGGATCACCAATCACTGGGTACATAATCGAGAAAAAAGATAAATACAGTACGATGTGGGAGAAGGCAATGGAGACAACTGTACCTCAACCAGAGGCTCACATCACAGGTCTCATCGAGGGAAATGAGTACCAGTTCAGGGTTATCGCTGTCAATAAAGCGGGACAATCCGAGCCTGGAGATGTCAGCAAGACATTCCTGGCGAAACCTCGATTCTTAGCCCCGAAAATTGACAGGAGACACCTCAGGGATATCACTCTATCAGCCGGATCCACCCTGAAATTCGATGCTGCAATAACCGGAGAACCACCACCACATGTTGAATGGCGATGTGGATCGGTACCAATTGTTGCTGGAAAAACAACAATCCTGGAGAATCCACCATACAGCACTAAACTCATTATTCGTCCTGTAAAGCGGGGCAACAGTGGTGAATACGTCGTAACAGCCAGCAATTCCTCAGGTAAGGACCAGGTGACCATTCAGGTGATCGTCACTGACAAGCCAACTGCCCCTGAGGGGCCCCTGCAGATATCAAATGTTCACAAGGAGGGATGCAAGCTCAAGTGGAAACGACCCCTGGACGACGGTGGAACTCCCATCGATTATTATCAAGTCGAGAAAATGGATCCAGAGACTGGATGCTGGGTGCCCTGTGGTCGTTCAACCGAGCCGAATATCGATGTGACTGGATTGACACCAGGAAAGGAGTACAAATTCCGTGTCTCGGCTGTTAACTCCGAGGGCGAATCTGAGCCCCTCACAGCGGAGGAGACAATAATCGCGAAAAATCCATTTGACGAGCCAGGAAAACCTGGAAATCTCAAGGCAACAGACTGGGATAAGGACCACGTGGACCTCAAGTGGACACCACCAACGGAGGACGGTGGATCTCCCATTCTGGGTTACATAATCGAGAAGAAGGACAAATATGGAGACTGGGAGAAAGCAGTTGAAGTACCAGCTGACGTCTGCTTTGCCAAAGTACCAGATCTAATCGAGGGACAGCCCTACGAGTTCAGGGTACGCGCCGTCAATGCAGCAGGCCCCGGCGATGCCTCAGATCCCACACCAACGATTATCGCTAAACCTCGAAATCTCGCTCCAAGGATCGATCGAACTAATCTCATCGACATCAAGATCAAAGCTGGCCAGAACTTTAACTTCGATGTTAAGGTTACTGGTGAGCCACCACCAACGACTCGATGGCAGCTTGCCAACAGGGAGTTGAGCGCGAGCGATCGTATAAAGATAAAACACGTGGATTATGCCACCAGTATCAGTGTGAGAATGGCAACGAGAGCTGAGTCTGGTAGATATACTATTGTTGCTGAGAATATCAATGGAATCGATACTGCTGATGTCAGGGTGACAGTATTGGATAAACCTGGAGCACCTGAGGGACCACTCCGGGCATCTGATGTTCATGCTGAGGGCTGCACACTCACCTGGAATCCACCAGAGGACGATGGGGGTCAGCCAATCGAGAATTACGTCGTCGAGAAGATGGACGATGCTACTGGCAGGTGGGTACCTGCCGGTGAGACCTCAGGTCCGGAGACAAGTCTCAAAGTCGATGATCTCATACCGGGACATAAGTACAAATTCAGGGTGCGTGCCGTTAACAAACAGGGGAAATCCGATCCTCTCACTATGGCCAAGAATATCGAGGCGAAGAATCCATTTGATCAGCCTGGAAAACCCAGTACTCCAACCATCACTGATTATGATACTGATTTCGTGGAACTCGGGTGGACTCGACCTGTCGAAGACGGTGGATCACCAATCACTGGGTATATTATTGAGAAAAGGGATAAGTTCAATCCAAATTGGGAGGAGTGTGCCAAGGTCGATGGGGATGTGACCCATGGAAGGGTTCCAGATCTCATAGAAGGTACTCAATACGAATTCAGAGTGAGGGCTTTAAACAAGGGTGGACCTGGTGAGCCATCAGACTCCACAAGACCCCACATTGCCAGACCTAAGAATTTACCACCCAAAATTGATCGCAAGTACATGCTCGATGTTAAAGTACGTGCTGGTGGCTTCTTCGATTTCGATGTTCCAGTTATTGGGGAGCCACCGCCGTCGAAGGAGTGGACGTTGAAGGGAGTGACAGTCAGCAATGACGATCGTATCAAAATCACCAATACCGATTACAACACTAAAGTCCGATTCATGGATGCACATCGTCCTGATTCGGGTGTGTACACGTTGACTGTTAAAAATCTCAATGGCATGGACAGTGCAACACTCAATGTGATCGTCATGGACGTTCCTTCGCCGCCTGAGGGGCCCTTGAAGGTCGAGGATGTAACCCGAAATGGGTGCTCTCTCACTTGGAGAACACCAAGGGACGATGGTGGCTGTGAGATTCTTCATTACACCGTCGAGAAGATGGACTCTGAAAGTATGAGGTGGGTTCCTGTTGCTGAGGCTGATCACTGCGCCTGTAGGGTTGATCATCTCATTGAGGGTCACTCCTACACCTTCAGGGTTCGTGCTGTTAATAAAATGGGTGAATCTCAGCCACTGACTGGCGTTGACGAGATCACAGCTAAGGATCCGTTTGGCAAACCCAATAAACCAGGACAGCCAATTGCCACTGACTGGGATAAAGATCACGTAGATCTGGAGTGGACACCACCGAAGAACGACGGTGGAGCTCCCATCACTGGATACATCATCGAGAAACGTCCGAGATTTGGACAGTGGGAGAAAGCTGCTGAGATTCCTGGAAAAGCCTGCAGTGGTACTGTTCCTGATTTAACTGAAGGACAGGAGTATGAGTTCCGGGTTATTGCTGTAAATAAAGCAGGCCCGGGTGAGCCCTCTGAGGCGTCAGCTCCAGTGATCGCTAAACCCCGATTCCAAGCACCAATATTCGATCGACATCTACTCAGGGATATGACTGTACGCGCTGGACAAAAAATTCTTTACGATATTCCCATTCAGGCATCACCGAAACCCACTGCCTACTGGAGCATCAATGACGTACCAGTGGAGCAAGATCTTCGTCACGACATCTTCACCACAACAACCAGCACGACATTCGAGATACCATTTGCCCAGAGATCTGATGCTGGACGTTATAAATTGACTCTGATAAATGATCATGGCAAAATCACAGCTGGTGCGACTGTCACGGTCATTGACAGGCCATCACCACCTGAGAGGCCTCTCGTCGTCAGTAATGTCTCTAAAGACAGCTGTCATCTGTCGTGGTCAGCACCTCTGGACGATGGCGGCAGTCCAATTCTCCATTATATAATCGAAAAAATGGATGTGTCGAGGGGCACGTGGTCAGACGCTGGAATGGCAATGACCCTGAACCATGAGGTGTACAGATTGACACATCGTAAGGAGTATCACTTCAGGGTGAAGGCTGTCAACAATGTTGGAGAGTCAGATCCCCTGGAGACAACCAAGAGCATCATCGCGAGAAACGAGTTCGACGAGCCCAGTGCACCTGGCAAGCCCAAAATCACTGATTGGGATAAGGATCATGTGGATCTAACCTGGCCGGCACCAGAGAGCGACGGTGGTTCTCCAATCACTGGGTACATCGTCCAGAAGAAGGAGAAGGGAAGTCCCTACTGGATCAATGCCTGTCACGTACCCTCCGGCAAAACCAGTGCCACTGCACCGGATTTGACTGAGGGACAGGAATACGAGTTCCGAATTATTGCTGTCAATGATGCTGGACAGTCTGAGCCCTCGGAGCCCAGTGACGCTGTCATCGCCAAGACGAGATTCCTTGCGCCGAAGATCAAGACACCACTGGAGGATATACGCATTAAAGCCGGTCTCGTCTTTCACGTGGATATTGATTTCGTTGGAGAGCCAGCGCCGGCTGTCACGTGGACCGTTGGTCCTAAACCCTTGGAAACGACTGAACGAACGACAATTACCTCGATTGGATATCACACTATTGTCCACACGGTCAATGCCAAGAGGACAGATTCTGGTCGTTACAACCTACATTTGAAGAACGACAGTGGAACTGACGAGGGCAGCTTTAACCTCATCGTACTGGACAGACCAGGACCCCCAGAAGCTCCACTGGAGTACGAGGAGATCACCAGTCAATCGGTGACACTCTCCTGGAAACCACCGAAGGACAATGGAGGCAGTGAGATCACTGGTTATGTCATCGAAAAACGCGACCTGACACACGGTGGGGGATGGGTACCAGCGGTGAATTACGTGAATCCAAAGCAGACATATGCAACTGTTCCACGTCTCCTGGAAGGTACCAAGTACGAGTTCAGGGTGTCCGCTGAGAATTTGCAGGGTCGTTCAGATCCCCTCAAGACAGATCGTGCCATTGTCGCGAAGAATCAATTTGTTGTGCCAGGACAACCTGGTAAACCCGAGTGCATCGACGCCGACAAGGATCACATCACCATCAAATGGACAGCACCAATCAGCAATGGAGGATCTCCAATTCTCGGCTATGACATTGAACGACGTGATCGTGCAACAGGGCGGTGGATTAGGCTGAATAAAGAGCCAACCAAGGAGAAGGAGTATCTGGACGAGCATGTGGCTGAGGGTCACCAATACGAGTACAGAGTTACAGCAATAAATGCTGCTGGTCCTGGTAAAGCCAGTGATGCTTCCAACGTCATCACAGCCAGACCCATGAAGGAGAGGCCGAAACTCCATCTCGATGCCCTACTGGGTCGCAAGATCAGGGTCAGAGCTGGAGAGCCAATTCACATCGATATACCGATATCTGGAGCCCCCACACCTACTGTTTCGTGGCTCAAGGACGGTGGACGACTTCCAGATGTCTATCGTATGACCACTGAAACCAAGAGCGATCACACTGTTCTGCTTGTTGAAAAATCAATCAGAGAAGACGCTGGATTCTACACAGTTAGCGCCACTAACGAGCACGGAAATGACTCTGCTGACATCCAGGTTATCGTCGTGGATAAGCCCTCACCACCGAAGGGACCACTGCTCTACTCTGGCACAAATCACGAATCAGTTTCGCTATCGTGGAGTCCACCAGACGACACTGGTGGTGCAGCTATTACAAATTACATCGTAGAAATTTGTGACTTTGGTATGGATAACTGGAGGCAGGTACCAGGATACTGTCCCACTTGCAATTTCACAGCTAGAGGTCTGCAGGAAGGCAGAAGATACATCTTCAGGGTGCGTGCCGAAAATCTTTATGGAGTGTCTGAGCCTCTCGATGGTAAACCAGTGGTCGCCAAGAGCCCCTTCGATCCCCCAGGTGCACCAAATCAACCAGAAATCCTTGGTTATACACCCAACACGTGTACCCTCGCCTGGAATCCACCAGAGAATACTGGAGGCAAACCAATCACAGGGTACTACGTTGAAAAACGTGAAAGAGGTGGCGAGTGGCTCAAGGCCAACAACTACCCAACACCAAATACAACATTCTCAGTTCAGGATCTTCATGATGGTAGTCGTTACGAGTTCAGGGTGATTGCAGTGAATGAAGCGGGACCTGGTGATCCCAGCAGGGCAACAGAACCCATAACAGCTGGACACCAGAGACTGAGACCCGACGCACCAGAGCCTCCCAAGGCCGATCGAATAACGAAGGACTCAGTTACGCTCTCGTGGCGGCCACCGAGGAACGATGGAGGTGCCAAAATCAGAGGTTATCACATTCAATCGAAGAGGAAGGACGAGGCAGATTGGAACGATGTCAATGGTGCCATTATCACTGGAAATGTCTACACGGTACCCAAGTTGCGAGAAGGGGATGAATATCAATTCCGTGTGATTGCTGTCAACGATGTGGGCAAGAGTGATCCCAGTCGAGCCAGCAACCCAATCATTATCGAGGAACAGCCCAACAAACCAATCCTCGATTTAAGTGGACTGAGGGATATCACAGTTCGTGCTGGTGAGGACTTCTCCATTCACGTACCCTACATTGGCTTCCCCAGACCCACTGCCACCTGGTTCGCCAATGATGTCGTTCTCGATGAGACTGACAAACGAGTTCATCAGCAACAAGGGGACGACTACGTCAGTCTAGTCGTCAAAAATTCAAAACGCAAGGACGGTGGGCAGTATCGTCTTCAGCTTCGTAATCAGGCTGGTTTTGATACAGCGACAGTGAATGTCAGGGTTCTCGATCGGCCTGGTGCACCGCAGAACCTCAGGGCTGATGAATTCGCTGGTGATGCACTCACTCTTTACTGGAATCCACCGAAGGACAATGGAGGTGCTGATATCACCAATTATGTAATTGAAAAACGAGAGGGAAGACTCGCCTCTTGGGTGAAGATCAGTGGTTACGTGACAACACCATTTGTTCGGGTTCGTAATCTCAATGTTGGACAGGAGTACGACTTCAGGGTGATGGCGGAAAATCAGTATGGGACATCGGATCCCGCTGAGACCAGGGAACCCATCAGAGCGAGATATCCATTTGACGTGCCAACAGCACCTGGTGCACCTCGAGGTATTGAGACCAGTGAGGACAGCATCACTGTGTCATGGACGAAACCGAGGAGTGATGGGGGATCACCCATCACTGGGTATATCCTCGAGAGACGTGGCATCAGCGAGGAGAAGTGGATCAAGGCTACACCAATTCACATTCAAGACACCATGTACAAAGTGTCTGGACTGATTGAGAATCATGATTACGAGTTCAGAGTGGCAGCTGTGAATGCTGCAGGCCAGGGGCCATTCAGTGCAAGCTCAGATGCCATTCGAGCTTGTGCACCAACATTTGCACCGAAAATCACGAGTGATTTGAGCATCAGGGATATGACTGTAATCGCTGGAGAACAATTCACCATCACTGTGCCCTACACAGCCAACCCCAAACCCAGACCAAACTGGTCTATCAATGGAGAAGAAGTCTTCACAGATTCGAGAATAAGATTTGATACATCAGATATCGCCTCCAAGTTCATCAACATCAAGGCTAAACGCAGTGATACTGGAAATTACACGATTAATCTCGTGAATTCTGTTGGATCTGACACAGCGTCCTGTCGAGTGCTCGTGGTGGATAAGCCATCCCACCCGCTGGGACCCCTGGATATTTCGGACATTACTCCAGAGACTTGCACCCTCGCCTGGAAGCCACCGTTCGATGACGGTGGCTCACCAGTTACCAATTACATCGTCGAAAAATTGGATCCTGGTGGTTATTGGGTGAAACTCTGCAGCTTCGTCCACAACACTCATTACAACGTCATTGGACTGGAGCCAAATCGAAAATACAACTTCAGGGTTCGTGCCGAGAATCAGTACGGTGTGTCAGAGCCCCTCACTGGAGAAGAACCAATAATGGCGAAATTCCCATTCAACGTGCCAGAACCACCGAGTCAGCCTCGAGTAATCGATTGGGACTCAGACAGCATCACCATACAGTGGGAGAAACCAGTGTCAGACGGTGGTTCACGGATTCAGGGGTACAAGGTAGAGTGGCGAGATCCTGCGGATGATGCACACTGGAAGGTGGCGAACGATTATCTCGTCAAGGACACTCATTACGTTTGCTATGGCCTAGCCAGCGGACACGAGTATGAGTTCAGGGTGCGAGCGAAAAATGCAGCTGGCTTCAGCAAACCAAGTCCACCCTCTATCCAATTCAAACTCCGAAGTAAATTCAACGTGCCATCACCTCCTGGCACACCACAAGTCATCAAAGTCGGTAAGAATTACGTGGATCTCAGGTGGGAGGCACCAACGTCAGACGGTGGTAGCAGAATCACTGGATACATCATTGAGAAACGAGAAATTGGATCGGCAATTTGGCTCAAGTGCAATGACTACAATGTCACTGATCTCGATTACACGGTCATGCATCTTATTGAACGTGGCGATTACGAGTTCCGTGTATTTGCTGTGAATGCTGCTGGAAGATCAGAGCCGAGTACCTGCACGACTCCAGTCAAGGTGTGTGAGGTGGAGGGTGGAGAGAAGCCAGAATTTTTGAGACCACTTCCAGTGAGTCAGGGCGTGCCACTGGGTAAGACATTCGTCCTGGAGTGTCAGGCGAGTGGTAAGCCCATACCAACCCCCCGGTGGTTGAGAAATGGACGAGAAATCACCATGGGTGGACGATTCAGAGCTGAGACTCACGATAATGGCCTCTTCAGGCTCATCATCTCCGAGGTGTGGGAGGCTGACAGTGGGGATTACAGCTGTCAAGCTGCCAATCCGTTGGGCATTGCCACCACAACAATGAGACTCAAAATTGGCACTCCACCTCGTATTGAACGTATGCCACAGGTTCTCCTGCTTGTGGAGAAGGAGAACGCGAAAATCAAGATACATTACTCTGGAGATCAGCCCATGGACATTGTCCTAAAGAAGGATGGCCACAAGGTAGTGGAATCATCCCACATCAAATACACAGTCTTCGATGAGTACCTCATTGTCTTCATTAAGGATATTGAGAAGGACGATCAAGGAATCTACGAGTTATCAATCAGCAATGACAGTGGAAGTGTCAGTGGATCGTTCACAGCTCAAATCACAGGTACACCAGGACCACCAGTGGGTCCTTTGGATGTCTCTGAGATCAATAAGCACACCTGCACTCTCTCCTGGCTACCACCGAAGACAGACGGTGGTCTTCGTGTCACTCACTACGTCGTTGAGCGCAAGGAAATTACACAGGGCCACTGGTTGACAATATCCAGCTCCTGCAAGGACACCAGCTTCCTCGTTCAAGGTTTAACCGAGGGTCACGAGTATCTCTTCAGAATTCGCGCAGTCAATGACAACGGAATGGGACCACCACTTGACGGTACAAATCCCATCAGAGCAAAAGCACCATTTGACCCACCAGGACCCCCTGGCACTCCAAAGGTACTGGAGATCGGTGGTGACTTCGTCAATCTCTCCTGGGACAAACCAGAGACTGATGGTGGGGCTAAAATTCAGGGATACTGGATCGAGAAACGAGAGGTGGGCAGCAAGTCCCAGGCATGGATACGTGTCAATCCTGCCATCTGCCCAGCGAACATCATCAATGTCACGAATTTAATTGAAGGCAGGCAATACGAGTTCCGAGTATTCGCCCAGAATATCGCTGGTCTCAGCAAGGAGTCCACAGCCTCAACTTCAGTGAAAATTGTAGATCCACAGATCAATAAACCCCCAGAAATCCTCAAGGGCCTCAAGAACGTCAACTGCATTCAGAATCACAATGCAGAATTCAAGTGCATCATCACAGGAAATCCCACGATTACGTGGTACAAGGGTGCACGTGAACTACAGAACAGCTCCAAGTACCAAATATTCACTGAAGAGGATTGTCACACTCTTGTTGTTCGTGATGTCTACGGAGAAGATGCAGACGAGTACACGTGTCGTGCGGTGAACAAAGGAGGGCACAAATCAACGAAAGCAGAGCTCCTCATCATGACACCACCTCGTCTCAATGTTCCTCCACGTTTCAGGGACACAGCGTTCTTCGATAAAGGTGTCAATGTCGTCATCAAGATCCCCTTCACCGGTTATCCCAAGCCCAAGATCACGTGGGTGAGGGAGGGTGAGAATATTGAGTCAGGTGGACATTATTTCGTCGAGGCAACAGAACGTCACGCCATTCTGACAATTAGAGATGGACACCGAAATGACTCTGGCCCATATCGTATAACAGCAGCTAATGAGTTAGGACAGGACACTGCAATAATCAAGGTACAGATAAGCGATCGTCCTGATCCACCGAGATTCCCCCAGGTCGACAACATCGGTCACGACTCACTGGCTCTCAGCTGGAAGCCACCGATGTGGGATGGTGGCAGCAATATAACGAATTATGTTGTTGAAAAACGAGAGCACCCGATGACCAGTTGGATTCGTGTTGGAACCACAAGATTCTGCACAATTGCTGTTCATGATTTGTCACCTGGACATCAGTACGATTTCAGAGTTTCAGCGGAAAATGTTTATGGGAGATCTGATCCCAGTGAAGAGACACCACTGATCACCACCAAGGGAACCAAGAAGAAACCTGTGCAAAAGTACGAGGTCAAATATGACTCCAAGGGGAAGAAGATACGGGGAAGGGACGACGAGAAGGTCAAGGATTACGATCAGTATGTCTTCGATATTTACAGCAAGTATGTGCCACAGCCTGTCGAGATCAAGACAACCTCGGTTTATGATAAATACGATATCCTCGAGGAAATTGGAACTGGGGCGTTTGGAGTGGTCCACAGGTGTCGAGAGAGATCCACTGGAAATATATTCGCTGCCAAATTCATCCCAGTGGCCCACATTATGGAGAAGGAGCTTATCAGAAAGGAGATCGATATAATGAATCAGCTGCATCATCCTAAATTGATTAATCTCCACGATGCATTTGAGGACGACGACGAGATGGTCCTCATCTTCGAATTCTTGTCAGGTGGAGAGCTCTTCGAGAGAATAACTGCCGAGGGCTATTTCATGTCTGAGTCAGAGGTGATAAACTACATGAGGCAGATCTGCGATGCAATTAAGCACATGCATGAGAAGAACATCATCCACTTGGACATAAAACCAGAGAACATAATGTGTCAGACGAGAAATAGCACGAATGTTAAATTAATTGACTTTGGATTGGCCACAAAATTGGATCCCAATGAAGTAGTGAAGATCAGCACTGGAACTGCTGAATTCGCTGCACCGGAAATAGTCGAGCGTGAACCGGTGGGTTTCTACACAGATATGTGGGCATGTGGAGTTCTGGCTTATGTCCTGCTGAGTGGTCTATCACCATTCGCAGGTGACAACGACATCGAGACCCTGAAGAACGTCAAAGCCTGCGACTGGGACTTTGACGAGGAGGCGTTCCGCCACGTCTCCGACGAGGGCAAGGACTTTATCAGAAAATTACTCGTTAAGAACAAAGAGAAACGTATGACAGCACACGAGTGCCTCATCCATCCCTGGCTAACCGGAGATCACACCGACAGAACCAGCAGAATCTCCAGCAGTCGTTACGTCAGCTTCAGGGACAGACTGCGAGCTAAATACGAGGACTGGGAGAAATATGTTTTACCCATTGGTAGATTATCCGAGTACTCGTCCCTCAGAAAACTCCTCATCGAGAAATACAGAATTTACGATTCAACGTTTGACAGAAGACAGGCAGCACCGAGATTTGTCATCAAGCCTCAGAGTGCTTTTACATACGAGGGACAGAGTGTCAAATTCACGTGTCGTGTGATTGCCATCGCAGCACCAACACTCTCCTGGTACCACAATAACCAGGAGCTCAGACAGTCCGTCAAGTTCATGAAGAGATATATCGGAGATGATTACACGTTCATCATTAATAGAACCAAATTGGAAGACAGGGGGGAGTACGTTATCAGGGCTGAGAATCATTATGGATACAGGGAGGAAGTTGTCTTCCTGAATGTTCAACCAATGCCCAGGGAAATGCCACCGTATAAACCTGATATTGCACCAGTACGATACAGAGAGCCATTGCCTCAGTACTTCTGGCTAGAGCAGACTGAATCTGCTCCTTGTTTCACTTTTGCTCTTCGTCCTCGTGTCATGCAGATCAGACAAACATGCAAACTTCTCTGTTGCCTGAGTGGCAAACCAACACCAACTGTCCGATGGTTCAAGGACAGTCGAGAGTTATCCAAACATGAGTATGCAATGTCCACATCTGATGGAGTCGTGACTATGGAAATTGTTGACTGTAAACCATCGGACAGTGGAAAATATCGTTGCATCGCTACCAATGTTCATGGCTCTGATGAAACAAGCTGTGTTGTCATTGTCGAAGGTAATGCAATTCAATCGAAATTTATTGTGCCGCTCAGTCTTCGTAAATGTATATTTCTGTTGTACTTACCTTTCAGGAACCGGCGAGACTGAAGAACAAATCCAATTAGCTCACGATTTCTTACATTCTGGAGGTAGAGAACAAACAAGAATCAACCCTCAATCCTTTGTCACTTGGGAACTGTACGATTTACGTTGTCCTGTTGATGACACCTCTGTTTCTTTATAATTAACCTCACTATTTTGAAAATTCAATGATTTAAAGAAGAATTTCTTTTTATTTGCCATTTGTTATTTATTTTTTAGATTATTTAGAAATTTTCCCGCTCAAATCCCGAATATCCCGTTAATTAATGTGAGAGACGATGAGCGAATTATTTCACTTTTATTTCATATCACGCACACGGCATTAATTCACTTTTATTTCACAATATTTCGCACATGTCTTCGATTCCCTTCCCGTTTGATGAAAATATTCACAAATTTTGGGGGATCCATTTTGTCGTCTCAGCGCCACGAAAATCGTACCCGACCTTCAGCCACTTTTCTATTATTATGACTATTAATTTATTTACCCATAATAATTATTTATCTTGAATGATTAACAACAAGAAAAAGAATAATCCCTCGAAATCGTAGTATGTTATAATGAAAAATAATTGTACGTAAAACGGAAAAACTTGCAGATCGAAAGTACATCGAAATGCCGATCAAGCCAGCGCCTCCACCAATCATAATAAAGCAAGAATTCAAATCCCAAAGCTACAGTAGTAAACAGAATTCATCATTATCATCAAGTAGAATAACTCAGGACTACTCGTCGGACAAGAAGAGCCTGAAAAAATATGGAACGAGATTGGATTCAACCGGAAGTCCATCGAGATCGAGGAACACGACGAGGGAATTGGTGCATCAGTCAGACGACTCGATGAGACCACCAGAATTTACCAAAAAATTGAAGGACCTAACGATCAATGATGGTGAACAGCTGGAGCTGTCGGTGAAGGTCGATGGGGATCCAGAGCCCCAGATCAAGTGGACGAAGGGAGGAAAGGCCCTGACATCCTCTGAAGTCGTTGATCTCAAATACAAAAATGGTACAGCAACTCTGGTGATAAATGAAGTATTCCCTGAGGATGAGGGAGAGTACAAGTGCACAGCGACCAATAGTGTTGGTACTGTCAGCACATCGTGCAGATTGACTGTTAAACCCATGGCAAATACTGGAGGGAAAAAGTCAGGGGGTGATAAACCACCGAAAATCGTTGATCATCTGGCATCTGCATTTGTCAAGGATGGGGAGTCCGTTGTTCTCAGCTGTCGAATTATTGGGGCTAAGAAATTCGACGTTGTCTGGCTGCATAATAACAAGGAAATCAAACCCAGCAAAGACTTCCTGTACACCAATGAGGCCAATATTTATAAACTCACAATTGCAGAAATATTCCCCGAGGATTCTGGTACCTACACCTGTGAGGCATTCAATGATGCTGGAGAAAGTTTCTCCTCGTGTACCCTCAATGTTCTTGGTAAGTCCACTATTTTATAGTCATTTTTTTTTTGGCTGTTCTTAAAAAAAAAATCATATCACTTGACAACTTTTTTATCTGAACCTCTGGATTTCTCAATGAAGATCAATCACATGGAGTTATTTATTTCTCAGTTCCTAATGAGGAACCAAAGAGCCCAGTGTTCGCGACATTCCCAGAGTCAGCAACAATAAACCAAGGGGAGGCTGTACGTTTCACCTGTAGAACCGAAACTGCCCCATTGAAAGGTAAAAAAAAATCCTCAAAAAAATAATCCATAAAATCTAAACGTCGAAACAATTATTTCTGCAGTGACTTGGTTGAAGGATAACAAGCCAATAGACGAGACGAGCAGTAGATTCACGTTCTCCTCAGATGGTGACAAGTCCTTCGAGATAAGTATCAAGTCCTGCACAGCGAGTGACATCGGCCAGTACACAGCACGAGCTATTGGCAAAAAGGGTGAAACATCAGCTGCATTTGCTCTCAATGTTATCGGTATCAACGACCAATGAGCCCCCTGACTCTGGAATATTTTTCACGCAATATTTAAAAAAACTTGATTTTTCACCAGGCAAATTGCAAATTTCAATGAAAAAAAAAAAAACTAAAAATGAACGCATATTTTCATTAGATAGAAAGAAACTCTCATGTATAAAATATTAAGTGAATCATCTTATTTATTATTATTGTTACTACATTGTTTTAACTTTTTTTTCTTCTTTTCCGTGTGTTTTGTCATATCGCCTTGAATTGGATAGCAGGAGCCATCCAATTACATTTACGTCTCTCTCTCTCTCTCTCTCTGTCACTCTCTCTCTCTCTTCTATTCTCTTTTTCTTTTGCAACGCTAATTCGAGCTTTAAAAAACTCCAAGTGATGCGAATTATAACTTACAACAATATGAGCACACGACGAAGAAAAAAGGATTACATGCTATCAGATCGAGTGTCGGATGGGTCTCTGGAATGTGGTACTCGTGCGGTTGTCCAGCATCCTCACGAGAAATCTTGCAAAGGTATAATCCTACGAGTATCACTTTACCGTCTTCTCTCTCTCTCTCCATTTTTTTGCACCGACTTATCCGGCATTTGCTTTGGTATCGTGGTAATTTTTTTTTAATTTCACTGTAGCCGATAATTAATGTCGTGATAGATTTGTTTGAAGACTGCTTCCGTTACAACATGTACGATGAATAAACTTTCATGACTCAAAACCACTGACTCTTTTCTGTCATTTCTGGGGGTGATTAAAATCTCATGCACCCATGATCAGTGAACGAAGCCTGCTGATGTATGCTATCAGGATCGATGACATTAAAGCAACCAAATCGACTTTGGAATCCCGACTCGTGTATACCTTTTAGGACAGTGCTGCGAATGCCAACGAATTGGTAGATGTTAATGTCCTCAAATGTTCCACGTTCGATCTTAACTCGTCCATCGGTGCATGAGAAGCTGAAGAGCATTGAACCATTGAATATCTGCCTGGGAAAATGATAGGACTGTTCGCTGATGAACGTGAGCTTTCCACTCAAAAGATGCACAGGGAAACTGAACAGACGAGTCATCGGTTTGTCCGGATCAGCGATTCCAACATAAACATTTTCGCCATTAGCGCAGGGGGTGTGTTCGTAACCCATCAATGAATCAATGTGAATGATGGGTGTGTCATCTGGGAAGTTTATCTTCAGGGTAACCCAAGCGTTGGTGGCGGGATGGTATGAGTAGAAGTGAGTCTTGAAGTAGATTAGCATGCCATCGACAACGGAGTAGGGAGGAGTTTCGGCGAACTTCTCAGGAATTCTAGCTGCTGTGGACCACTCCCCTGAGTAAATATCCAGGACATCAACGCTCGATAGCTGCAGACGGTGCTGGCCAATGCCACCGGCCAGGTACAGTTTATTTTTTATGAAAGCCGCTACCATGTGTCTTCTTGCTCTCGGCAGCTCAGCAAATGAAAACCAAGTATGAGTGAGCAGACAATAACGCCAGATTGTTTTTAGAAAACGACCTGATCCCAGTCCCCTCTCACCACCAATCACGTAAATATTGAAACCCCTCCCTATGACTTGTCTGCCAAAAACTTCGGTCCCATGATCCATGACCCTGGCTATGTCCTGGAGATCGACAAGCTCCGAGAACTTGGAATTTTTCCACCAGTAGACACAAGGAATCTTGGGCTTGCCCTCAAGGGACTTGTATGCCACCACACAGGAGACATAATTTGGCCCGTTGTTCGAACAATTAGGGCAGATGTTGTGTGGTGGCTTTAAAATGTCCATCAGTGATTTATACAGATGACTAGATGGATCATGGTTAGCAGATGATGAATAGTGTGTGGCAGCCTTTCTGCAGACGATCCTGAGCCAGTCCTTGGCGCACTTGATGTTGGCACTTCCCACGAGTTTCATGAAGTTCTCTAGGTCGAGCTGTAGCAGAAAGGGGATCGGAATATCCTCGAATCTGTCGAGACAAGCCCCAAGGGCCACGTCTCTCAGTTTATCCAGCCCCAGAGCCTCTGCTATCGTCCAGATATGAAGAATATTCTCATTCGTCATCCAGTGTAGAATTATTGTCGAAGTGAGATCATTTGTCAGTTTGTCACACAGCAAAACCACGCTGAGATCCAGAAGCTCGAAGGCATTAAAGTCACGGTTTTTTTTAAATTTTTCCATGCAGCTCTCCACTTTGTGCGTCCGGAGTTTTTTTTCCTTCTCCTTTGTCTCCTCAGTCCAACTGATGAAATCCTGAAATTATCGACTCACCAGTTCATATTAGAAATAAGTCTTTTGAAAATTTTTATTGATTCACTTTCAAAAATAACAATTCCCGCGATGAATCGATAATTGGTGAACCGGAAAAAATCGTCTCATCAATTTCCCATTTGACCACAAAATGAAAACATTATTTTTTAAAAAATTACCTAGACATAGAATAACGATCGGATATTTTTATATAAACAGACCTTGAGGGTATTCAGTGATACAGAGAAATTGATTGGCTGTTCATCCTGCTGATGATCTTTGAAGTTCTCAGAAAATAATGCTGAGAAGTAGCGGCTATATTTGATTAATTTGTCCCTCTGTGCTGGAACTCGAGTTCCATTGAGTACCAGTATTACCCGGTTCTCCTCAGGATCTCCCATAATTATTTCACGCCGACAATCAACAACACCAATGAAAAACGTGACAACCTACTGCGGTGAATGATGACAATGGTGACCTATTGCGACTTGTAAATTGTATAGACTGCAACGACTGCAACGGTCGAACTGACCTTGATTCAACTGACGATCAGTTGTCGGTAAAGAAATCTCACTGGACCCTTGATTTTCCATTGAGGTTTTGGTGCTCCATAAGGATGGCAGTGGTGTAGCTGTTTTTCCCGTGTTTTCCTCGGTTATTTTTATCTACGTCTTGACCTATCCTTTGCTGTCTCCAAGACAAGTCGCAGATTCCTGGAGTTTTCCAGCAGAGAATTTATAAAAACCTTCATCTGTGTTTATCTCTCAGGTAAATCCATTCGTCTTTTTGCTTGACTTGGCATTTTTTCAATGGTCAATTTTTCATTTTCATTATTCCTCTCATTTTTCAAATACCGGTTTTCGTGATGCAAGTTATATTTCTCATGTTTTACTATTTGAAGGGACTTTGGAATTGAATTCAAGGAAAAATCTCGCAATTGATTTTGCTCATCAATTTTTTTTCACTGCACGTAACGACTCTCACAGGTTCATTATTACTAATTAATAATTTTATTCTGGTTTATTGCTCAAATAAATTCAAGCTCTTCACATCAAACAATTTCTTCATTAATTCATTACTTCAATTATTGTGATATTTTTTTTTCCAGAAATGTCCGAAACACGCCTGAGTCTGATAATTTTCGGTGCAACAGGTTTCACTGGTAAGTACACAGTGAAGGAAGCCCATCGATTATCTAAAACCCATCAATTCACCTGGGGAATTGCTGGAAGGAGCAAGGAACGTTTGGAGGCTGTGCTGAAGGAATTTGCTCCAGATGCTGACAATGTTCCGATCATCACAGCCGACATAAAGGACGATGAATCCCTCAAAAAAATGGCAGAACAGGCTAGAGTAATAGTAAACTGCTGTGGTCCTTACCGATTCTATGGAGAACCCGTAGTAAAGGCCTGCATCGCTGCCAAAACTCATCAGGTAGACATCACTGGAGAGCCCCAGTACATGGAAAGAATTCAGCTGGAGTACCACGAGGCTGCCCAGAAGGCTGGTGTCTACATCATCAGTGCATGTGGCTTCGACAGCATTCCCTGCGACCTGGGAGTAATCTTCACCCAGCAGAAATTCCAGGGTGAAGTCAACTCCATCGAGAGCTACTTGAACAGCTGGGCAGATCATAATCTTGGAGGTCCTTCCCTCCATTATGGCACCTGGGAGTCTGCTGTTTATGGGCTGGCCCATGCCGACGAGCTCAGGGGCCTGAGATCCAAGCTCTACCCCAAGAGACTTCCACCTTTTGAGCCAAGACTCAAAGCCAGAGGTGCAGTGCACTCGAGCAATATTTCAGAGGGATATTCTGTCGTATTTCCTGGGTCTGATCGATCTGTCGTGTACAGAACTCAGCGTTATCTCTACGAGAATGATAAAATACGTCCAGTGCAAATTCAGACGTACATGACCTTCAAGTCTCTCCTGACAATCATGGCAATTACATGCCTGGGTACTGTCTTTTCTCTCATGACCAAATGCAAATGTGGACGAACTCTGCTACTGAAGTATCCTAAATTCTTCTCTGGAGGATTTGTCAGCAACGAGGGACCATTATTCGAAGCCATGGACAAAACATTTTTTTCCATCACTTTCAAAGCCCAGGGATGGACCGAAAAACTTGCTGAACCCACTGACAAGCACTCTGAATCGCCAAATAAAGAGATGATCACTAAAGTCTCTGGTAGAAACGCAGGCTACGGTGCCACCTGCACTATGGTAATGATGTCAGCCCTCATGATCCTCGAAGATGGAGAAAAAATGCCAGAGAGGTAATAAATTTACGACTCACCTAATTACTCATGAAAAAGCCACTATCACAGACAAAAGCCGACACATTTCTATTTTTCTATTAAAATTCTTGGCCGTTAATTGTCCAAGTTTTTCTTCCTCTCCATTTTTATCTGTCTCTCATAATAAAATCCGAGAAAAAAATAGTTGTGCCCAGGAATTCTTCGAGAAAAAATCTCTACAGCATAAATTATACACAAAGATCAGCGTCGAGACACGTGTTCTTATGGAAACATTTCTATTCAAATATTTAGGGCATTATTTTTAATAGAATTGGTGTGAAAGAATAAAATTCGTCGACAGAATATCTCGATTTTATTTTTCAGTGGTGGTGTCTTCCCTCCGGGGGCAGCATTTGCAAAAACATCGATAATCGATGAATTAAATAAAAATGGAGTGACATTCGAGGTCGTATCGTCGAAGGAAAAATAGAGGTAACGAGTGCATGAAAATTCACTCGAAAAGGCTCTTCATTTTCAAGGAATAAATGACTTACTCCGTCGATATCTCGGACGTCCAATTGAATTCACGATCTCATATTCCACTTTTTTTCTGCATCTTCTCTGCCTCGACTTTTGTAATTTCTTACGTATTCAATGAGCTAGTGTGACTCACAGGCTGGGTTTTCTCTATTTACAGTACTATTAATTAATTTTATAGTGTATAGATTGTGTGTGTTGTACTAATGTTGGATGGAGAAATAAAAATCATGAAATGGGGGAAAACCAAAGTGTCCATCATTACATCACGTGTTGGAAAGGCAAATGGTACAAATATCCTCGGTGGCCTTCCGGTGAACCTCTGGCATTCGTTAGAGACATTCTGTTCTCCTCAAGGATGAATTAGGATCGTCCATGTCAAATTGACCCATTTTTTCATCGAATCCCGAATTCGAAACAATAAAAATAGGTCAAAAATATTTTGTAATGAGATTCAAATACTCAGTATTCATAATTCACGAGAAATCAATAATTACCCAATGAGTGTTTTACATTTGAATAGAAATGTGAAGTTTGAATTTTTGAGTCTGAAAAAAATTTCCCGGGTTTTCACAATTTTCCCGGATTTTTGAATATTCAAGGAAATTCTTCGTCATTTTTTATTGATACCTGCTACTCTGACTTACACCGGTTGAGGGCTTTCCCCTGGGATTTTCCTCGCTATTCCGGAAAAATCCTCTCGGAAAGTTGACGTCAGGTGCGTCATTGAGTGACCGGAAATTGAGTCAATGATTGAATTAACGAGGGAAATTCGGTGTGGCGGTTAGGCGGAAAAATTCGGGAAAAATACCTGTGGGAAGGGCAATGAGAGCAGCAGGACGATAAAAAATCGAGGTGGGGAGCGATGCAGGTAGCCATTAAGTTATATAAACACCGGCTCAATAAATACAACTAGAGTTTATCATCGACAACCCCAACGAGGAGAGAACGATATGAATTATCTTGGGGGGCGACGCACGTGTATTTTACATGATAAAAATGGTGAGTCCCCTTCGAATACATCAATTAAATTTCAATTAGTCATTGAACTGATTAACTGCGAGAAATCAGACGAATCAGTCAAATTTTCTCGTCTTATCTCAACTTTCTCGGAAACGATTTATTCCGGAAACTATCGATTTTCGAGGAAAAACTTGAGGAACTTTTTTCTAGCTCATTAAATTTTTTTAATAAAAGTTCTTTTGATATTTTCTCAGAAAATCAATGGATTGCGATTAATCGAGAGTTGTAATTACGAAAATGTAAGAGATGGTTTGTGAAATGACACTGATACGATTTGAGGAACGATCATTTCACCTCTTGCGAAATATTATTGTGAAATCATGAAAATATTCGCGATATTCACCCGAAAATTTCATGCACATTTCGATGAGAATTTCTGGAGAATTATTAGCTGCGGCTAATTCGTCTCGCGACAATTGCTGCATATTTTATTGATGTTATGGCCTCGTTAAGACGACTTAATCCCTCTCGTTAATTTTAATCATGAGATTGATAAGGAAATGAAAATTTACAAATCAGAAACAAGCCGTAAATATATGGTTCAATCGGAGTATTTAGAAAAGTGAATAATTACGAGTAAAATTTCGCGTAAACAACCGTAAATTCCGTAAAATAAATAAAAATATAGATTAAAAAGACGAGAGCTCCTCAATTTATTTAAAAAAGGGGAATTGGGGGGATTTACCGTACATCTCAAGGCTGCCAAACTGAACCATTTGCAGAAACAATAAAAAAAATAACTGAAAAAATAAAAATGACTCAATTCCTACTGCTCTTGAATAATGCAACAGCGGATAAAATTCCCGAGATTTGTTCCTGGTAGCCTCGATCACTCAAGGTATCGCCAAATGCAATTATAATCTCTCAAACCAATTCGCACTTCGTACACCAAATATAATTCAACAATTTGCCACAAACCGTTGAATCACCAATTGAGAATTGATCCAGAATCGATCATTGTTTCATCATCTTTACGATCTGAATTGTTTTTCAGTTGAGCCCTTGAAATTGAAGGATCCGGGTGAAAGAAACGAATGACCTCGCGACAGCTCAATCATTTTTTTAATTCTCCAACAAACCAATCATTGCTCCTAAATTCTAATCCACTTGAAAATTTAACGCTATTACCACATTATATTATTATTATATAATTCGAGAAATCGAGAAAATAATTCCCAAATTCTGTGAAATTCAGGATGAACATAATTCATGATTTTCCGGAAGGCGCACGGTATATGATTGAAATATATATTATTCCCGAATATATTCCGGATAGAGTGTGATATATCATTATATATATCATGGGCGCGGGTTGTGACTGAAATGCCAAGAATTTTGAAGAGTGTACTGAGAGTGGCAGGAGTTACGGTCATAAACGCAAGTACAAAACCCGAGGAGAGGGTTTTATCCATTCGAAATCGCGGTCTCGGGCTCAGTTGCACACCGTCGCTCCTCCAACGAGTACCGCGCACTTGGTCTCCACTTGAATCTGACATTTCCTCCATCGAATCTCGAATCTACCTCCATGAATCTGTCATGATTCCACCAATTCCAATAATCCCCCATTGATAAATCAAAATTCCAATCTGAGATGATAGTCTCCCCCTCGTGACAGCATCATCATCGACTTTTATAAAATAAATTTTATTTACTACCTCGGTGAGTGATTGTCGAGAAAATTTCCACTGCTGAATTATTTTTGGAAATTATTTCGGAGAACAGAGGATGATGAACGGTACCAGCACAGTTGTTGATGAGACGAGTAAAGTACCTGTTAAAAAACTTGCACCTTTGAGACCCTGGAGTGAAAATGTCGTCGAGAGTGATCTAGACGTGCCAGGAACACCTAGGACCCCCAGGACATCGACCACTCCAGGTATTATCCTCCAGGAAAATATATTCCTTGAGAATATCCCAGTCAACTATCAAACTCACGCTTTTTCATATTTTTTTTTTAAATTGTTTACTGGAGCTGCTATATTTCGACAGGAGGGAATTTTCTTATTCCATGGGATTTATTTTCCACTCGAATTTTCACCCACAATAATTAATGACGAAGAGGTGAGAACAATAGGAGATTACAGTTATCACTGAAATAAATAATAGCCCGCGGATATAACTGTAATAAATGGTGTTGAATATTTTCGGGCGGAAGTTACCACTCGTGAATTTTCGGTGATCTTTATTACCCCATTGTCTTCTTAATTATTCCCCACTGAAAATACAATGCTTCACTAATTTTAATGGCTTCCCAGTATTTTTCTAGATAAATCGGATAAGAAATTCGTGAAACCAGTATTTTTTTAAAGACTGATTTATCACGGACAATACAGTAATCCAAGTGTTTCCACATGATTTGTCATTATCACTGTCATTATGTACGATGAGGGGTCACATAGCAAAGCAACTCACCCGATAGCTCGTGTATGCAATCGTTTCACTTTATAATTTCGTCATTTTAAGTCCATAATATTGTAATATGCATTTCCCAATGGAATCCTATCATCTCATTTCTCTCTAAAATCATGAATTTTCGGAGAGAATTATCACGAAAAAAAAATACCCAACAAAAAATAAATATAAATAAATCAATAGTTCACGTGAAAGACAATAATGCCATAAAATAATAATACATGATTCAACAACAATAATTCAAATTTTCGTGCGATAAAAAATGTGATAAAAATGAAATTCATCGGATTTAATCCGGATTTGCATTAATTGCAACTTGAGAACTTGAAATCTTGAAATGCTCTGGCGTATATTTATTTCGCGCTATTCGATCTGATCCTGCGGTAAGGATCAGTCAATCCGGATAAACCGCAGATGAATAAAAAATGAGGGCAACAGTGTTTAACAGGTGGAGTAATTGATCCCACATTGACGTTATCGATTTTCAATTCAGGACACGAAAAGTGCACATTTCATCATGACTTGGAGTTGGATCATCGACCCCCAACGAGGGAAGCACTCCTCCCAGAGATGTCCAGGAGTTACAGATTGCTCCTGGGATCTCTCGGAGAAGATCCTGATCGAGAAGGACTCCTCAAAACTCCAGAACGTGCAGCTAAAGCTATGCTCTTCTTCACGAAGGGATACGACCAGAACATCGACGGTAATTTCTATTGAAAAAATTATTTCTGTAATTTAAATGGCCTTGGATGTTTTTTCTTCCATGAGAAATCTGTTCCTTGGGTTTCGTTGATTGAATCCATAATGCATTGTTCGGAATTTGTAATTCTCATAAGACATAAGACCCTAGAAAACCCGACAGGAAATACATTTCATCCCCTATTTCTCGGGGAAAAGAGAAATTGCCAGGGAATGGAGTGGAGATTAACAGGAAATTCTAGGGAGAGACTGAATTTTCTCGAGAACTTTTTTTTTAACACAATGGCAATTCCCTCAAGAGCCACTTGTGTGGGAGTAAATCTCTCATGCATATTTCATTTCCGGTGAGACTCCCAGGGGAAAATGTCAAGTGATTTTTTTCTCTCCATTCAATCATTTCGAGTATTCTCGAGAATTACTGAGAATTCAGGAAATTCCATTGAGATTAAATAAATGAATAAAATTCTCAAGAGATATCTTGGAATGAGAAAGAGAGAGTTATGGTACAACTATTGTCAACCATGAGTGGTTGTAGGTGTTGCTTGTTAGGGTTGCCTTGGCAACGGACAAGAGCCACCCCCTGGACCATTTGCGAGCGTTCTCTCACAACTAGGTCAATATCGGATATATCAAAGTATCACAGAATCCCATTAAAATAAAAATCCAGCAAAAATCGATAACTATTTCAAAGAATTTCAATTTTTTCATCTTCCAGTCATTCAATTACTCAATCATTCATCAATGCTTTCACAGATTGGAGATTGAATTATAAAAGCTTATTATGCAGGTGTTGAAAAATAAAAACTCTTGTGATTTTGCAGATGTTATAAATGATGCAGTATTCGATGAGGATCACGATGAGATGGTAGTTGTCAAAGATATCGAGATGTTCTCCATGTGTGAACACCATTTAGTCCCATTCTACGGTAAAGTCTCCATCGGGTATTTGCCCTGCAAAAAAATCCTCGGGCTCAGCAAACTTGCGAGGTAACAAAATGCAATTGCTCATTAAATAAAATAATTAAAGGAAAGATGAATAATGAGCGTACAATGGCATTCGCTCTAATGCATTACGACATTTCACTACATGTTGCATTTATCGGCTAATTTGTGGCCTTGGTGTCATGCGCTAGTGTAGACATATTGAGAGATCGATTAGGTCGACTGACTTTCACGCCGACAATTCCGTCCATATCATCGCGGAATGGACTAGTTCGAGGCCAAAAGTTACTCACATCAGCACCCACTAATGAATATATTAAAATATTTACATGTTACTCGGCGATTTAAATTTTTATATGGAAGTTTAGTGGAAATTATTTTGCGATTTCTTTTGCAGGATCGTGGAGATTTTCAGCAGACGTCTTCAAGTCCAAGAGCGATTGACTAAACAAATTGCAATAGCTGTTACTAAAGCAGTTCAACCAGCGGGGGTTGCAGTTGTAGTTGAAGGAGTGTAAGACATGTTTTAATCATCTCATTCATACCGATAAAACTTCCATAATAACCACTCAATTATCCACCCGTAATGAACACTCCGACCTTGTGCTAATTAAGATTCTTCAAATGATTTTATCATTATTATTATTCGTCTTTGCATTATTGCGTGCTGATCTCGATGTTATTACAATCAGCATCACGTAACTGGACCTGTCCTTCGATCTAGACTAAACTGTCACTCGTTAAATCCGCCTCTCACTCATTTTTTAATCAATTTTAGGCTTCGATTATCGATCAGCACGGCATTGCCTCAATCCCATGGAAATAATTATTAATTATCATTTTTTTCGGGGGAACTATTCATTTCAGGTGAAAATATATTTTCGGGTGAAAAATGTATTTTCATGTTTTATCGTGGAATCAATGAATTTTTAGATTAATCGATGAAGAAATGACAATGAGTTAGATTCACCGAAAGGAAACCCCTCATTTGTCATTATTTTTTTGACAGGCACATGTGCATGGTAATGCGAGGAGTTCAGAAGATAAACAGCAAGACTGTGACCTCGACGATGCTGGGAGTCTTCCGGGACGATCCAAAAACCCGAGAGGAATTTCTCAATCTCGTTCACACTAAATAGAAAATCAATTTTTCCTATTTTGACAATCATACGCTGGAGTATTGACGACGAGACGATCTCCCTTGGAAAAAAATCATGGAAAAACAATAAATAAAATCCAAATGACAACGAAAACGAGAGAAACCTGAAAACGAGATTGAAACTGCGAATGTTGTGATGAGTGACAATAATCTAGTTATTTGATGCTTAAATCATCCCCAGGGGAATTCTCAAGTTTCTCTTGTTGGCGGGAGAATATCCGACTGGATGCAACTGACGTTCTTCCATTTTTCATAATTTGATAATAATTAGGGAAGTTGATGCTCGTGGGGTTCAACAGCCATGAATCCCACGAGATGTGATAAAATAACACTGCAAAATGGAAAACTGTGAAAGTATGCCCCTGTCGTTTCTTAAATTTATCATTTTTAATGCACGCAAACTGCCGGATTATTTTATTTACGAGGATTTTCGGAGGATTCAGAAGCATTTTTTTTTTCCATAAAATTCAAGGCGATACAGCCAGTCGCCTATCATCTGTTCGCTGTTTTATTGGAAGAATGAAAAATCCGCATTTTTTTTTTATAAATATTCAACCTCTTAGATTTATTCCACATATCGAATCATCCATTAAGTATTGCATTGAATTTATTATCATTAGATTTATTTTGGTAAAGGTGAAAATGCCCGTAGCCTAGAATTTCACGATTATTTCAAGTGTATTTATTAATTGCACGTGCTTGAATTATTTTCAATCGATTGGACAACGATGGGAGCAATAGCGTTATATCCGGATATTTTCGGTATTAAATATAAAAAAAAAGTTGAATTGTTGTTAGAGGATGACAACTACTTTTTGAATGTTTAATTGTTCAAATTTGTGTCCTGATATTCAACAAGATTATACTTATATTTTAAATAAGAATCAATGGTTTTATTTAATTCCTGACCTTTTAGTGGTCGAACATCCGACGAATTCTATTGCATGGTTCACAACGTTTGGGTTCCTGGCTGTCTTGTCTAGATGCTGGAAAGAGCTCTACGCAATTGAGTCCTCGTAAATTCTCTCGAGGAGATCCTGCGGTTATTGATAAATGAATAATTAATTTATGAGGGAATCTGCGAAATTTCTACAAAAGTGAAATGTCGTGACAAGCACCTGCCGTCGAACTCCCCGATTTTGGACCTTTTGCAGGGCAAATTCTGTCCCTCGAGCTCGAGGACTTTCTGTATTTTCCATCGAGACAAACTGACTTGGATCCTGAACTCGGACGAGGGGATGTCCTGGTACAGGGGATGCAGGTGTTATCACCCCAGGCCATGCTGGTCTGGGATTGTTTTTTCACTGCTGGGGAGTAGCAGACAGTCAGCCCTGACTTCTTCGAGGCTCGGGCACTCTCTTTTTTTTCATCGGCCATTTGTCGACAGAATGCATTAAACTTTGAGGGTAGGATCGCCTTGGATTTGTCCTCTTGAGAGGTCCAGCAGTCCTTCGAGGGCTTGGGAGGGGCTGTGTGGCTCGTTCTGCGCGAGATAAATTTATTTTTTCTCGTGGTATTTTTGATAATTCATTACTCATAACTCACGCGACACTTTCATCGGTGGAATTACAAGGTAGACATGGCACCCAGCATTCCAGGGGATTCCTCAACACCTTCAGGGCCTCGTCATTCAGGGAAGAGACACCCTTCAACAAAGCCCTTTGTATTGCATTCTCGTAATCCGCACTCTCTTTAATTATTCTCTCGTTCTCTCGACGGAGACGATTCACCTCGGCTTCCAGCTGCACATAGCAATCTCTTAATAATATTCTCCAATCCACAAGCATAATAATATACCTCAAACTCTCGTTGATTCTGCGAGAAATGGGTGTTGATGGGAGTTGGAAATTGGGGATCGTATCCTGGGAGTTGTTCGAGGGGAATCCCTGAGGGAGGGATTGCTCCTAGTGTTGCAGGTCCACTTCCTCCTGGAAAAGGGCCTGAAACACCTCCAGGGGCTAACACGCCTGTAACTCCTCCAGGTGGAAATCCTGTGGGACCCCCCCCTGGAGCAAATACTCCAGGAGGGCCTCCTGGAGCAAACCTCCCAGGTCCACCGCCTGGAATAAATCCTCCTGGTCCACTTCCTGGAATAAATCCTCCTGGTCCACCTCCTGGAATAAATCCTCCAGGTCCACTACCTGGAGGAAATCCTCCAGGTCCACTACCTGGAGGAAATCCTCCAGGTTCACTCCCGGGAGGAAATCCCCCAGGTCCAACACCTGGAATAAATTCTCCAGGTCCACGAATTTCCATGGACGACACCGCGGCCAGTGGGACAACCGCTCCAGAAGGCATCAGAACAGATCCATCTGCCTGCAGTTGACTCCCTGGGGGTAATCTAGACATTATCTCCGCTGGAGTTATTGGCATCTGAACCCCTGGAGGGCCTCCTGGTTGCAGTGGAGGGAGCTGAAGCCTCGAATACGAGGGATCAGTTCCAATCGTTATTTTCACACCACTCTGCAATAATTAATGTACCATTTAAATCGAGAATGTACATTAATCTGCCGGCGATGTCGTACATCAGCTAGAGTTTTTTCGTATATCGCCTTGGCTGCCTCCACCTCAGTTAATTTCGTCTGCATCTCGTTATTTCGGGAAATTATCAATTTTCTCAGCTCCTCCAGAGCACTCATTCCACTTTCAACTTCACTCTGAGCTTCTCCCTTCCAGTTGTCGACCTTCTTCGTGATATCCTCCAGCATCAGCTTCGGGGAGTAAGGATTTCGGGAATTATCGCGGAGAGAAATCGGAATTCAGTGACGAAGAGGCAATTAGGCCAGTCAAAATCAGCCAGTAAATTTCATTTTATCGGAGAACTATTGATTTTAAAATAAAATGTCGAAAGCCCTTTTACATGAAAAATTTAATTAACCACAAAAATCTTTAATAAAAAATGTGCAACTTAATTGAAGATTCGACTCCTTTTACCCCTTCAACACCGAATTGCAAATGGTTTAACGTGACAAGTCAATGGGATTTTCAATTTCATATTTATTTTACTGTTTGTCAGGGGTTGACGTGGGGTCAACCTTTAAATCGTGCTCAACGTTTCCGGTGAGTCGAGCGAGGACTTTTCCAGCTTCCCGAAGATGTTCACTCGCATTTTCGAAAATCTTATCGAGTTCTTGATCTCTGGGATTTCAATTGAATTTATTATTACCATCCGATAATTGTGCCATTAAATAATTACCCAGTTGACTCTCGGGGAGGTATCGGGGACCCAGGGGATGATTCCGCGATGACTTCCGGTGGTGATGATGAATTTTCTTCCCTTCTCTCTTCACCGGAAACTCGTGGGCTCTTCTCAATGACTTCCTCGACGGCGTCTGCACCCCCGGATAGCCTCAGTCCCCCCACACTCCCCATGATTTTTCCCCATCTCGCGAAGGCTAGATGGAGAGAATTTTCTTGTCTCGGTGTGCGCTCCTCTGGCATTCCGGGATATCTTTTCCTTTTTTTCTTCAGAGCTCTAGACATCACGGCTGAATTTCTCACTTTATCTCGTAAAACTTGAAAATTTTGATGATTTTTTTTTGGGGGGTTTTATCGCCTCGGAATGTCAGGAGAAATCTTCAATTGTTTTCCGGGCGGTAATTTTTGGTAGAAAGTTTGGAAAACAGAAGACTTTTTCTCAAAAAATAAATTTCGTCTGACGAACGATTTGAGAAAAAAATTATTGATCATTGGAAAATGAAAGAATTGTTTTATTACATTTAATTATTTTACCACTTGGATTGTCAGGGAATAATAAATACTCTTTTATGAAGATTAATATTTTTGTCTTTAATTATTCAAAATATATAACGCATCTGCTCATCAAATAACCGATGAATTATGATCATTGATTATAAAGATTATTTCCAAATGTTCACATGTCTGATAAAAAAAGGTTTAACAAACCATAATTTGTAATAAACTCCCGCAAAAAAAAAAGAAAAATCACATGGAAAATAATCGATAATCAAAATAATTCGGAAAAATGTTTTCATTCCATTTCTTACAAAATCATCAACCGGTTCATCAATCGCATATAAAACTCACATTATTTTCGATAATTATTCAATCGTTGGAGGAGGGAAAAATATTGTTTTATTAATTTTAAGGAGAACTAAACACTATACACTTATAATTACGACGTAATCTTGGCTGGTGGCCTAAAAACACCAACGACGACAGCGTGATCTCTCTCATATGGCTCCAGGGTTATTTGCTCCTGTGGTTTCAATTTATCAGCAACAAGTTTCTTCACTTCCGATGCGAATACCGCCTCAGGTTGGGCAGTGGAGTCTATACAACTTGCCTTAATAGAAATAACGAAGTGTCCTCCATTCTTGAGAAAATATTGTGAGTTGAGGGAAACTATTCTAGCTTGATCTGGTTGTGCGACATCAGCAAATACCGTGTCCACCATTCCAACGAGCATTCTGTACTTGTGAGGATGTCTAGCATCCTCGATTATTGGAATAATATTCGTTCGTTTTTTCGCAACATTTATGAGATCCCTTCCAGACCTGTGGGAGAATTCCACAGCATAAACAAGCCCCTCCGGTCCAACAACATCAGCCACATGTGAAACAGTTGTGCCAGAGGCAGCACCAAGGTAGAGTACTTTGCTACCAGGTGGCATGTGAATTTGATCGACACCACCGAGAATAGCAGCTGCTAATTTTGATCTGAATGGATTCCAAACTCTGTACTCAATTTTATCACCATTCTCCCCATCAACGCTGATCCTCTTCTCACCATAAACCTCTGATCCAGGTACTAAATTGCGAGTTACCAGAGCATCCTCCTTGCCCCTGGCAATGAAGACTCCCTCATGACGATGGGGTTCGATCACCACTGTTTTTCCACCCTTGAAACCACCTCCACCCCCACGACCACCACGTCCACCCCCTCGGCCACCACCGCGACCCCTCGGCGTACCTCTCCCACCACCACCCCCACGACCCCCTCGAAATCCTCCACGATCTCCACCACCTCCTCGACCTCCACGAAAACCTCCACGACCTGAAAATTCAATTCTACTAATAAATAACCCCTTGATAAATCATCGAGTACGTACCTCCTCCTCCTCCTCCTCCACGACCCCCTCTAAATCCGCCACCTCCTGGTGAGAATCCTGGAAAACCCCAAATTGTTACAATTTTTATAAAAATCCCAAGCTCTCAAATAAAACAGATTGCTTGAAATTCATGTAGAAAGCATTGTCATCGAGCAGACGAAATCTGCCTGATAAAGATAGCTTCCACCTTAATCTAGCATTACTTCGACACCAAGTAGGCAATAATCCACCAGCCTGGCTCTAATGTATGCATTAAACCCATAATCCTAAATAAAAAACGTTTCCCAAGACTCCATAAATTAAAACGTGGCACCACGCGTGGCTCCGCAGCCGCCAATTATTTTTCCAATGACATAATCCCAAAAAACGTAGGCATTGAATGCATTAAAAATTTGCCAAACAATTATTTCCAACTACCGAACATTGCGGTAATCAATTACAATCAGAAAAAAACGATTATTAATCCACTGAGAGGTTATCCGACAACACGCCACACCAGGTCTCCCCTTCAGACCCTCATTATCGCTCATCAAAAGAATAACAGTGGAAATTTATTATTATAACTTACCAGGCTTACCCATTATCGGTGTGTTGTGTATCGGGAGTTGAGAAAATGTTGGACAATAATTATTTTATTGTTGTCTTGAAGATCACACGACGAACACGTGCGCGAGGACGCGAGTCGCGACTACTGGCCCGCCTTCGTCGGAAGTTCCACCATTCGGCGATTTACCCATTTCCGGGAGCGATGGGCCAATTTCTATGTACTAGCACCACTCGATGTTCATGAAATTCCCCCTTTCAAATGCATTTGTAAATTTTTTATGAGAGTGATAATTGATGTTTCGATAATTAGTCATTGAATCACCTCCTCAGTGAAAATCCCCTGAGACATCTGCATCTGGAGGTGCTATATACTCATCCCAATAGTCATCCAATCGAACTAGTTTATTTTTATCAGTTTTATAACTCGTCTGGGAAAAAAATCTTAATTATACTGCCGGGTAAAAAAAATGTAATCGGAATATTTTTTCCAAATTTTAAAAAATTTCGAGAAAACCTTTCAGAAAATGTTTTTAATGAAACCAAAAAAATGGTTTTGCGGCCCGGGTTTTTTTGGTTTCAAAAGAAAAATTTTCCGAAAAGTTTTCCAGAAATGTTTTGAAAATTTGGAAAAAATATTCCGATTACTATTTTTTTTTATAATATATTATATAACAGAAGTTTCCAAAACGTCATAAACAAATTAAAGGAACATTATGACAAATAAACGTGTTGTACGTGAAGTGGATATTGTCACGTTTGAGGAAGTGATAAGGATGCATAAAGAGAGATAAATAATCCGAGAATTTGGAAAGTCGCAAGCAACACCTTCTTTAGAGAGAATCTATGAATTCCTGAAGAGCGTATTCATTACTGAAGTTGTGGTATTGCAGTCTAACAGGATGAGAACAATAATAATTCTGGTGGTTGTTGAAATTTTTGGATTTGTAATCTTTGCATCTGATCCATGCCAAAATTGTGAAGAGATCTCCAAGAAAGTAGAGAATTTCTCCAATGATATTCAGAACGTGAGCAATTTACAATATACCTACCTCAAATTTAATAGTAAAATTTTTTATTTAATAGTAGAAAATATTTTCAGGAAATGGCGAAGACGCACAGGGGAAATTTTGCGACCGCTCCTTTCAATTTGTTTTCGATCCTCACAATGGTGACTTACGCAGTTTTTGGGAGAAGCAATACACAGCTGAAAAAAGCATTGCGCTATGATGATTACAAATGCCTTCGGAGAGCATTGATTTCAATCGTCGAAAAACTCCACGTAAATTATCCTGATAGAATATCAAAAAAAAAATCAAATTATCATCACAACAAATTGAAATAATAAATTTCTCCCAACAGAATGAATCATCTGGTTCTATGGTAATGAGCGCCCAGATTTTTGTGGGTAAAAATTACAGGATTAAATGGGAGTTCAAAAAAATTACAAATCCAGTTTTTCAATTTTCAGGTGGATATATTCATTTTGCATAGCTGACGAATACGTTTTTTTTTTTAAATATCAAACAAAAAAAAATAGCTAATCCTTCGTCAATGATATCACTTAGTTATTTTTTCTGTCGCATTTTTCTTTTATTCATCTGAAAATCTATTTCTTATAGAAAACTTCACAGATGATAAATCAATCATTTTTAAAAATACCGCACACTTCAACGGTAAATGGCGCACATCATTTTCCAAATTTGCTACAAGCCCTCAAAAATTTTATTCTCGAATGGAGATAAAAGGGCACACGGCGCCATACGTTGATATGATGCACGGAATTATTGGAGTTAAATATGGAATTCTAGAGAAGTGGAACGCTCGATTCATTGAATTGCCTTTTGCGGTTTGTATAAATTAAAGAAAAATAATCTTTATTATCCTCAAGTACTATTATTATGAATTATTATTGCAATGAATATAAATTAAATTTCTTCATTAAATAAATTGAATGAATTGAAAATGATTGAATAAACACACAGAGTTCCGAAGGGAAAAAATTGCAGATTATTCTTCTGTTGTTTTACAGGAGGAAAACCTAAGTATGGTAGTCATCCTTCCTCTCACATCATCAACGATTATCAGCAAGACAACACTGGCTATATTTTCAAGTAGCAAAAATGTATCAGCACTTGAGCATCTGATGAAAAACCTGAATGAATCCACAATCAGTTCTTTTTTGAATACTGCCGAAATTGCCAATGTTGATATACTGCTACCAAAAATTGTAATTAATTCGGAAATTAATTGGAAAGAATCGTTAAACCACCTGGGAGTGAGTGATATGTTTCAATTGAATTCCAATTTTTCTGGTATGACTGATGGATTGGTGGAAAACGTGAAAGTACTAGAAAACGTATCGATCAGTCTGAGCGAAGAAGGACTCAACCAACCGGAGGACCATACGACCGGTAAAAATCATTACCTCCAGAGTACTGGGATAACATGAACAACCATTCAAAATTTCTACTTAATTTTATCCTTAATTCTTCAAATTTTATTTGCAGCCGCGAATGTCGAATTCAAAGCCGATATCCCTTTCTTCTTTGCGATTATCAAGCGCTTCACTCCAGAAAATCTGTTAGTGCTGTTCAACGGACATTATACCAATCCTCCCTAGCCTGGAGGAAAGCCGTTTTGACGATTTACAAAAATTTTTACAAACTTTTAAATCCAATCTATTGTAAAATTTATAAACATTATAATGTGTATAATAAAATCTATAAAATGTATGTGACTCTTTTATATTTATTATTCAAAAAATCATTTGACACCGCAATAAAAAACCAGACGAACATTCAGTTACTGATAAATATGATACGGGTCAACAGTTTCCAACAGCATTACGATATATAATAGCCCCCTTTAAAGATTTATTGTGATTTTTTTTTTATTTCAGCTGGCATAAGTATTAATTTTTCAGCAGTAGGTATTGAAAATTGAATTGATCATACGGTTGACCTCTCCACGCATCAATGTACGATATCGTATGTGGCAGTATATATATAGTGAGGTGGTGGGAGGAATTTATACTAGTTCTGTTCAGACCGCCTGCTAGAGGTTCCAGGGAATTCGAATAGAATCTTCAGAACTAGTGTGACCAGCCGCCTGATACTACCGTTGCTTTTATCGACAATCACCAACTTTTTGAATCTATAATTAACTCTTTATTTTTACGCCCCATTTTTTTCATTCCAGATCCTCCCAGAGTGAGTAAAATATTTTATGATCAAAAAAATTAATCACTGGTTGCCAATGGTAATGATTTTTACAACATTTCGTCGAGTGTCTGGTATTTTTCATAGGCAATCGTAATTATATTACAAAAATAATATCTTCCGAATGAATTATACGAGAAAATTCATTCATTTTCACAATAAATATTTTCTCGCATTTACCGAGTAATGGGATTTTTCATAGCTGTAAATGACGCATGTCACATTATTTCAATAATTGGAGTTTGATGTGTTGATTGGTGTCTCATTCATGAATTTATATTACAGAAATGGCGATGATATTTCTTCTTGTTGCACTTCAAATCTCTGGAGTTTTCAGCAAGAGCCTGCAAATACCAGAGAATTACATGGCATTACGAACTGTTGCTGGTCATATTAATAAATTCTCCAGTGATTTTTATGATGTAATTTTCATGAGTCATTGTAGAAGAGAAGAAATACTATTCAATTCAATTATATTTTCGTCATTTTATTCGCTATTTCAGGCAGTATCGATAGGTGAGAGGGGAAATTTGATAGCCTCACCCATCAGTGCATCAATGGCTCTGTCAATGCTGACTTACGGAGCACGTGGAAATACTGAAAAACAACTAAAATCTGTTTTGCATTTGAATGGCGACGTAAATGTCCAGAAGAGGGGCGTCAAGACACTCATAGAGACTTTGAACGTAAATACAATGACTTCATCTTTGTACCTAATAATTATTAATCATATTTACTCTGACAGGAATTCTCCAGAGTCGAGCTGAAATTGGCATCCAAGATTTTTATCTCTCAAAATGTCACTGTTCGCCCGGAGTTCCAGGAAATCGCTAAATCTGTATTCAAATCTGCATCTCAAAAAGTTGATTATGCAAAACCTGAGGAGGCGTGTAAAATCATTAATGACTGGTGCGAACAGCAGACTAATTCCAAGATCAAAGATCTCTTCTCCCCAGGTCACAATTTTTCATTTTCATTTTATGTAAATTAAAATCATTGATTATCAATTATCGATGGATTAATTATTATAGATGACCTTGACAGTGACACTGCACTCGTGCTCGCCAATGCAGTTTATTTCAAGGGAAATTGGATGCACAAATTCAACAAAAGCCTGACAATTCTTAAGAATTTTACTCTAGAGGATGGAACTGTCAGGGAAGTTCCCACTATGCATGCGTATAGAGATTACCGTTTTGGAATTCTTGAAGATCTTGGAGCGAGTTTTGTCGAATTACCTTACGAGGTGAATAAATTAAATTGGAGGATTAATATTTTAAGAATATCAGGAAAAATACGGTAATTGTATCCAGATTTGTCCGAATTCTGGAATTTCTTGGGAAATCCGAGATAAAATCCCAAGCAGAAGACTTCCTCATTCTATCACTTTTGTGACAGTTGAATTGAATGACGCACCTTAGATGTTCATAATTTGCCTCGTTTGACTGGTACGGCGCAGAAATTATAATGATAAAAAATATCCGACAATTTCCACAGCATCTCAGAAAAAAAGGAAAAACCCCTTATTTTTTTATTCATTTTATTGAGAATCGATAAAAAAAATTTTGTGATTGTTTTCTTCAGAGCAACGACATCAGTGACGACATCAGTATGTTCATAATTCTTCCAAATGATCGATCAGGCTTGAAAGACCTGGAGAAAAACCTGACAAAACTCGACCTGAATCTTCTGCTGGCTGGTTCGATGTCGGAGGTGAGCTTGACTCTCCCGAAATTCAAAGTAGCATCAAAACTGGACCTCAAAGCTCCCCTTCTCGATCTGGGCCTCAAAGACATCTTCGAGGAGTCAGCTGATCTCAGTGGCATCACCAGTGGAGACTCAACATCCCTGAAAGTCAGCAAAATCGTCCAGAAGGCATTCATCGAAGTGAATGAAGATGGCAGTGAGGCAGCAGCAGCAACTGGTGAGTCCTTATTTCGTCTTTGACTGATGCTCCTACTTGTGCTCAAACTGCTTTTTTTGTCTACCCGTGCTTCTTATTTTTTACGGTCTCTCCGAGTCTCATAATTACCCCAACGTCCAATGAATATTTAATTCAGGAGAAAGTTTGAATTTTTCGGACTTTTCCTCTACATTGATTTCGTTGAATCATTCAGCTGTTTGCATGTTTCATATTCACATGGCTGAAATGTGTAGAATAAAATTTTGTATTCAGGCATTGAAGCTACAGCATTCTCAGCACCCATACCAATTGATTTTCACGTCGACCGTCCTTTTTACTACGCTATCGTAAAACACCTGGGTCGAGAGGAAGGGGGAATTTTATTGTTTAGTGGATATTATAGAGATGTTGAGGTGAGTTGCTTTATTCTTGTTGTACGAATGTGTTCGCCTGGCTTTCAATGTTCGCTGAGCAAAATTTTTCAAACTACAATAGACCTCAGGAGTTCCCGACATCTTCACATTTTTCATTTATTCATTTTGTGAATTTCTGGAGAATCGTGGATCAGATTGATGTGAAAAAAATCGACCGTTCAATCGAATTTATTTTACAGGACTGGAACTAGAGAACAGATATGGCTGGACGGATGAAATAAAAAAAGTCAAATTCAGCGTTGATCATCCATTTGTATTCCTCATTACTACACAGGATGCAATTATTTTCATGGCACACATTGTTGAGCCGAACTATTAAATTCTAAGATGATGAGTTGATTGAAGATAACATTTTACGAAAGTCTTCACTCCTTTCAACCACTACTCAACTCGTTTTATTTTTTTATCTCTCCATTGCATTTATAAATCAATTTATAAACGTAACAATGAAATTAGCATATTCATTTTCGTATGCAAAATCAAATTATAATGAAAAAGTAAAAATAAAAATACTATCTTTTCTCAATATTCAACATGATAATCCTTTATCAATTCCCAGTATGTCAATTACTACAAGCCAATTAATTTTAATTATGCCTTGAAGCGCGACTAAAACTGTCAACAAAGAGTCAATCACTGCTGACCAATAAATCTCATGTATTTTCGTTGGAAGACAAATTGTAAGAAGTGAAGAGCGGAAGAGCCTATATTATTCCCTAAAAAGTCAAATGATCTTCACAGTCTATTAATTTATCAACAAAAAAAATGTCATGGTTCAGCTGTCTCTCCGGCTTTTCACTTCATTATTGAAATAATAGAATGATTTAATCCTGAATAATAATAAAAAAAAAATGAAAAAGCAAATGAAAAATTATGATATGGCACACCCAGCGGCATTTTTAGCAGTCCCAGTACCAGAAGTCCCACTCGAAGTCAATGAAGTTTTTCGATAAGGTTTCAAGGTCGTGGTAGTATCGAGATATTCGTCATTGTCCTCAACGTCAGACTCCCGATTCCTCTTGTCCTTCTGGCCCACTCCATCCTGAGCAAATTTATTAATATCACGTTGTCCAGAGTTCCCGTAATTTCCCTTGATGTATCTTTGCCTGCCCGCCATTCTCTCCTTCTCCAGGAGATACTCATCCCTTTCATATTGATTGGAAGACAAAATCTCGGGATTAAATCCAATCGTTTTAAAATCCTGTCTCTCCCTCATTTCCTCATTCTCCCTCTCTCGGTAATTCCTGGGATTGACAAATCCCATGGGACCTTTCGACGGCTCAACCCCATAAGAGTAACGATCCTGTAGCCAATCGCGAGCTTTATTATACCCTTGACGTTGAGCATAATTATCGTAACTGGCAGAAGGTAGTGGAGGTGGTGGTGGTGCTGATGATATGGGCTCAACTCGATTGGCTGTCTGTTTCCAACGTGCACTCTGCATCACGAGCTGTGCCAACTGCTGGATCGTCTGCTTAGGGACATCATCTACTTCCGATTGCCTTGGCTTTTGCTCCAGTTTCGTTGGTGTTGAAGTATTAAATGCCAGTACTTGATCAAGATTCCTCAATCGAGCGTAACCCTCACCCTGACCACTCAAAAGTTCATCATTCCTTTCGTTTTTATATTTAAAAATAGGAAAGTATCGAGATCTTTCCTCAGCCTGTCGTTCAATATCCAGAAAGTTGGCTGTCAGAATTTTAGCTACTGATGGACATTTAATCTCCCTCTCCTCTTTGTCCTCCGCTTGCTTGAAATTGAATAATTGTCGTCGCGCTGGCTGAGTGTCCGGTTTTTTCCCAATATTTTGGAAGACGATCTGACGAGCATTTTCAATCCTCTCCTCCATGAGTTTCTCAGCCTGCAGAAATCTCTGAGTCTCTTCCATCGCCACCTTTCCCTCAAAAATCGAGAGAGACCCCATGGCTATTCGTCTCTCAGCTGATGACTTCATTTTCCAGTCGTTGGATACAGACGGTGGGAGTCCAGCTGCTGTATTCATCTCTTTCTGTGCCTGAACAAAGGGAGAGGCCGAGACTGGCCCCAACTTGGACCATATTGTTCCTGGTTTCGACGGTCTTATCACACCAGGTCTCGTTGTCACAGAGCTCTGGGTTATCAATTCAATATTTGAGGAAGGACTGGTACAGGGCACTCTGCAGGGTTTCGGAGGGACCAAGTCCAGCTTCGGAGGAACAGTTCCTGGTTTAGGTGGTGGTGAAAAGCAGAGAGGACCTGATGGAATAATAGCCGGTGGTGTGTGATCCACTGATTTTTCAGTGCCTCCTCCACTCTTGTTCAATACTGTCGCCTGGACTACATTCATCAGCTGATCCAGACGATTCTCTAATCGATCCTGACGATTCTGATCTCTATCCAGAATTCGAGTCACCATTGAATCCTGGGCCGCCAAAATTTTATTGACAACTTCAGTTTGCGATGTAATAGCACTCAACATCAATTGCTCCAGCTTCTGGGCTTTTTTCTTTCTGAATGGCGCATTGGGGGGATTCGGAGACTGATTCTTGGAGCTAATCAATCCATTTTCGGATGGACTCGGTGACTCCTCAATGAATTCTATGGACAGTGTGTCATCGTTGAATGTCGCATTGTTTGTTATTGTTGTTGTATTGACTGGAAACATATCATTGTCTTGATCGTACGTCTCGTTCAAATTGTGGGCTGCCACCGGCTGGGACATCTTCCCCTGGCAAAAAGCCTCGTTCAAGTTGGGGGCGATGTCTGAGGGATAGGTCTGGGAACGGAGAGGAATTTTGTAATTGACGTTTTCGGAATTCTTCGTGGTGAAGGGAATGAAACTTTTTGGATTATCCAATCGTTCTGACAGGGCGCACTGCTGCAATTGACTCTGAATTCTAGCAAGATTTGTGGATTGTCTCGTCGGGTAGTACATCATGTTGTCTGGGGGATAATTTCGAGGGGGAAAATTGCAGTAGTCCAGGGACTGAGGGCCCTGGTTGCTCATGTAATTTTCGGATAATTGATTCTTCAGAAGCATGTTCTCCTGGATTATCTGATTTTGAACATTTTGCACTGTGTTCTTCAGTGGCATTTCGGAGAAACGATTTGCCTCCAGGGTGTTGTAACGATAGCGATCCTCTGGCAGAGATCTACGGACAGATTTCATATTTGATCGAAGTGTTTTGGGCTCGAAGTTCATTCTTGGGTCGCGAATTGTAGGTGATAGCGAACGGTGGGGACGTGCCAGCACGGTTTCATTGGATTCTGATGAATCTGCATAGTACTCCTGGGGTAAATATGTCCAAGGGCGAGGATCAATGTCAATTTGGCGGATCAAGGGCTCCGGTGGATCCTCCAATTTATTTCGCCGCATCAGAAAATTTGCGTGGGTTTTTATCTCTTTCTCTGGGGATTTCAGCACAAATTCACTGGCGTCCACAGTATCCACACCCCCAGCATCAGTCCCAATTTCCCCCTCTGCTTCAGCCTCTCCTCTACTCAATCGTTTATTCTCCAAAACCTTATCAATTGATTCGTAATAACGCTCGACCCCCGCTCTTGTCCCAGTTTTTTTCGCCTCCCGATAACAAACCAAGACTTGCTTCATTCTGGACCTGCATTGTCGAGCTGTAACCCCATACCCTTTTTTGCTCATGTACTTGGCGATACTTTCCCATATTAATTGAGGCTTTACCGCATACTCCAGTTGTTTTTGGACCTGTCTGTCTGTCCACACAGAAACGAGAAGAGTTGTACTCTCCGGAGTCCACTTGTATTTATTATTATCCGTTGTATCACTCATTTTCATTTGTTCATCTCCTCTCGCCACGATTACCTGGAAATTTTTTTCAATCCCACTCCATTTCAATATTTTAATATAATTATCACACATAATTCTGATATTGAGGTCCGCAAGGATTTTCTTGATTATAATAAATAAAAAATTAAACTCACCTAAGGGTACGATGTTGTTTTCATGACAGCAACCTGTTGCTCTGTTGCTCCTGACACGCCAAATGCTCGGAGTAAAACGTAAAAGGCTGTAAAATGGTCTCGAACTCAACGACGTGTAACGGCCGGTGAACAAGTGCTATAGTTTGTGGGAATTGTGTGGGGGGATTCTACGGGTTTTTCTTATCGGGTTTCGCCCCCCCAAATACCCCGAAATCTTGAAAAATTCAAAAATGTCCAACGGTCACCCCAACAACGCCCATTGGTCCTACTATTGACAGCAAAAAACGAGTCGTTTAAACTTGTTTGTCGCTCGTTAAAAGTTTATGGGCATGTGGCATATATTTCCTTATTTCCTTCATCCACGAAAGAATTTTACATTTTCCCTCATAAAAACACTCACATAAAAAATATTACATACAAAAACCGTAACTAATTCTTCCGGAAATTCTTGTGAAATTCTGCCAAGAATATATTTTCTCATTAATTCCTTCGTTTTTGTACTTTGTTCTTTTTTTGGTCTGATAAAATACACGAAGTATAATTAAAAAAATGAATATATCAACTTACCTCCCATTAAATCTAATGATAAAGGATTTATTCTGTTTACAGGGAAAAAAAAACACCGCAAATCTTTTGACTTGTTCTTTATTTTCAATCGAACTGCTTTGATCATAAAACAAAATGTAATAAAAACAGAAGAAAACAAGCAGATGGACTTAAAAATATACACTCGCTCTTGATTGTATCCATGCCCACTAAAAAAAAAAAAATACCTGCCGAATTTGACGGCGTAAGTGCAAACAGTTCAATTTGCATTTGAAATTTCCTTTGAAATTTTTTTATCATTAATCTCAAGTCTTACTTAGAGTTGCCGAAAGTGTCATTATGTGTTTCACAATAATACCTAGCCCATGACTAGCAGCAAAGTGGCAGGACGACACACTGACATCTTTCTTTACCACATGTGTGTTTCCCTTATTTCACTTATTATGTGGCCAGCTTGTGTGAGTGCCTGCAATTCAAAATTAATACAATGACAATCAAAACAATTTTCAAGGCCACTCATGAAAATAATAAAAATACCTTAAGCATATCTGCAGCTTCTTTACGCCTCACTGCAATGTGCTCACTCTCATTTAATAATGCCTCTGCTTGATCAGATTTGTACAAGTGCGTTACAAGTTCACTCTGCAAATTATCCTTCACGTAATTAACGAGGAAATGCATAACAGCCTTAGGTACACTGTCTTGAATTGATTTACGAACGATGTAGAAGTACGATTTAATGAGCCTCTCTGTAAAAACGAGAAGACAATTGTACGAAATATCCAGTGAATTATTAATCAATAATAAATTATTAATAAATAATTACCAATGACATCGCAATCCCGTTGCTCTCGATCACTGAGCTTCCTCGATGTTTGCATTGGCACTTCAGAAAGTAAATTAACTGGCTTCTGCTGTGTAGGAGTAGTCAGCTGTTCCAATCCCACAGCATTATTTGCCAAATTGTTAGGATAAGGAGAAGTTGTCCCGTCGCGATTCCTGACCGGTGAGCTCTCAGCAGTACTGGCAGAGTCGGATTTTCCCTGTGGCAATAAATTGCTCAACAGCCAGTGATTTTGCTGCTCCTTCCCCTGATCATTGAATATTGTAAACTCATCTTTAACAATGTTTTTTCCATGAGACTCATGATTACCCACGACTCCATTGGCAGTTGCAATGGATACATGACCGGTCTTTCCCCGATTGATATTATCAAGGTTGGTATTTTTAAGTAACGAAGAGACCAATGCCGCATCTTTGTGAAAATCTGGGTGTTTGGTATTGATGTATGCGAGCTCAATAGCCACGAGATTCTCCACCATTGAGTTAGTGGTGGGTAGTCGTCTGCGAAGAAGATGTGTGACGACGTCGACAATTCTCTCATACAATTTTGGAAATCTCAGCATCTCCTGGTGGACTTCTGTGCCACAATGCTGGATAATCCCCTGCATCTCCTCATGCACTAGCTCGACGCACCTCAGGGAGGGCTCCTCCAGCCTGCGAATTTGTCTCTTCACCAGAAGCTCGAATGACACTTCAGGAACGAACAGAGCTGGTCTTGGCCCCGTGGCATTTCTGATAGCAGTGAGAATATCCATTTTAGTGAGCCCAGCAAGAGGATGAATGGAGTCCAGTGCCTTTCCAAATGTCTCGTGAAAAATATAACAAATCCTGGCTCCTCCACAGAGTTCAGTTGTCTCGATATTCCTCGCAGTTCCCTCAATGGTCGAGCAATAAGAGCTGGCAAATTTCGTAATTATCTGGAGTAGAGTCTGACTCTTGTCCGAGATGTCCTCCCCATAGGAATTGAGGAGAATTTGATACTGGGAGACCATTACATTGACTCTAGTCTTGAGCTCAGGCAGGCAATCCCTTATGTGATGCATCAGCAGACGATTGAGTGTCTTGGCGAGATATGGAGTACCATTTCTACTGGCTAGAGTTGGATATTTGCGTTGCAAAAATGCTGCCTCATCCTTCAGTGCCTCCTGAATTGTTTTGTTATTCATAATGTCCTGCTGAGATCGATTGACAACACCAATGATTCCCAGTTTCACTGGTATAACTCTCCCACAGAGAATATCAATAGCATCTGTTCCAGCGTCCATCAGATCCATTTTAGTGACAACAGCAAGGGTTCTTCTCCCATCAGGATCAACGTCTTTACTCAATTTCAAGCTCTCGCTCGTTGCCATGTCTGTGTTGGCAGTTACAACAGCTAGAATTATCGAATTTGGATTACAAATGTATTTTAGTACCAAATTACGAATCTGTGTCTCTATGTCCTCGGGTTGATCTCCAACTGGCACTTTGGTTATTCCAGGGAGATCGATTAGTGTTAAATTAACAACAGTTGCTGAGTAAATCTTGAGATTAATGGGCTCTGGACAAATGCCCTTGTTACCACCAGCCATACGATCAGTCTCAGCTTCAATTTCCCGGCGAATGTCATCAAAATTTTTAAATATACGATTTTTAGCATGAAGAAACACTCCCCACTCGTCAATATCAAGAGTTCCATCCTCAGCTGTTCGATGTTCACGATCATCCTTTGGTGTGTAAACTAGTTGAAGGACTAGTGGACGTCTGGTGACAATTCCTGTACCACGAGGCAAGAATGAACGACCCACGAGACTCTCAATCACCGATGATTTGCCGGAACTCTAATAAACATTACAATTAAAATCATCAATTCAAATTCACAACTTCTGGATTGATTCCAGAGTTCACACTACACTGGATTCCATAGTGGACATTGGTTTTTGTGACAAAGGGAGTGAAATCATTCGAGGGAACAAAGAAAAACAATGAATAACACCTAACCTGAGTACCGAGGACAACAATTTGCGGTAATTGAATAACATCTGCTCCAATTGTGTTAAAAACATCTTGGAGTTTGTTAATCACTGGGATGAGGGCTTCCATTGTGACTTTTGGCAAGTTAAACCCAAGATGGTCCGAGGTATACGTTTGAATGCGATTGACTTTTTTCTTTCACCGATTTGCGATTCTATCAGTTGAATATGTACGATTTATATATGTGATGTATTACGTATATCGGCTCACTGATGCACTTGATTCCTAGCTCAAGTGACAATCAAGTCGATTTTTTCTTTCGGACAATTTATTTCCTGCTGATTTATTTGACTGTATTTTTATGGAATTAAATGCCCCAGTTGTTATTAATCCTCAACGTTTTTTTTCGCGTTGTTTCGAGGTGTTTTCCGATAATCAAAACAATTCAACATCTTGTTCCCAACGGATATTCATTGGCTGAGACATTGCGGTTTATTTGCAATTGACGATTTTATTTATTGACGGCTGAAGCCAAAGAGGGTTGACTGAAGTAGAGGCTGAGTTCTGGGGGTTTGAGTGACCCCAGCGGCATCGTAGTACTGC